ACATGTAAATTAGGCAAAGAGGGGAGACCCTCTGTTTACTGTATTGCTGTCAGGACAGCGAGGTTATGGAAGTTCAGAATGCCCAGCTGGCTGGGCTTGAGATAAGAATAATTAGGTAGGGAGAGGAGACCCTTGTCTGCTGTATTGCTGTCAGGACAGTGGTGTTATGGGAGGTCAAAATGCCCGGCTGGCTGAGCTTGAGATAAGAATAATCTTGACCCCCTGCATTACTAATTGGTTGGATGATGCATGTCCTTTCTATGACCAGTGATCATGACCTGCTAATAGGGGAGAGGTCTTGTGATAAGACTGTCTAGCACCCAGATGGTCCTGTGAACTGATATGTATGTTGATAGGGAACCGATGGACCATATATACAATCTATACTACATCTGCTCAGATGTTTACTTATAATGAGATGAAAGCAGATGAAAGGCAGACCCCTTCTATGCTGTGCAAACCTGCCTAACATTTCATATTAGACTTTAATATAAAATATTATACAATTATAGCATGGTGATGAGGTCGATACATGGTTTTATCGACCTAGGTAAGCAATATTGACCGAGGAGGCAGTCCGAGGTCAATATTGCTAACCTAGGTCGATAAAACCATGTATCGACCGAAATCACCATGCTACAATAGTTTTATTATTTTAATTGATTTTTTCAAAATTGAAGAAAAATGTAAAAAAATAGTTTTCCATTTTATTTTCCATTTATTTTTAGTCACAAATTTTAAAATCAACTAAACAAAAATATCAGAAAAATAACATTTTTTTAATTAAATATCTGCAATAATCATTTAAATATCTGCAATAATCATTGATCAAATTACTGAATCAATCCTTTATTTTACTGGCACAGTTAGCAGCACTTTAAAATCCGTGGAATATGTCTATAATATGATAGGCAGTATCAAGCATCCAAGTGACTTCAGTGTTAATCTTGATCATTACTGTGTTTGTCTCCCATGGGGTGTTAATCAAGCATCTAAATGACTTCACAAAAATTCCAGAATCTATTTATAGCAGGTCAATAACACTTTTTCTACCAACTTTTTTGAACACCTGTTCCAGAATCTATTTATAACAGGTCAATAACACTTGTTCTACCAACTTTTTTGAACACCTGCAAACCACTCAGGTTTATAACTACCTTTACAGGTGGTCACATGATGTTGTTTCAACCAATCAGAGTCAGCTCAAAATCAATAAAAATAATAAAGAGGGTTATAGTACAGCATGTCTTACTGTAAACTGTTATATAAAATATAGAGGGTTATAGTTCAGCATGTCTTACTGTAAACTGTTATATAAAATATAGAGGGCTATAGTACAGCATGTCTAACTGTAATCTGTTATAAAAATATAGAGGGTTATAGTACAGCATGTCTTATTGTAAACTGTTATATAAAATATAGAGGGTTATAGTAAAGCATGTCTTACTGTAAACTGTTATATAAAATATAGAGGGTTATAGTACAGCATGTCTTAATGTAAACTGTTACATAAAATATAGAGGGTTATAGTATGGCATGTCTTACTGTAAACTGTTATATAAAATATAGAGGGTTATAGTACGGCACGTCTTACTGTTAACTGTTATATAAAATATAGCGGGTTATAGTACAGCATGTCTTACTGTAAACTGTTATATAAAATATAGCGGGCTACAGCAGGCCAACTCCCTCAACATCCATGAAGACATATTGAAAAAAGTTTCTTTGTGGCCATGCTATTACAAAATATTTCAAAAGTTTGTTTTAAAAAGGCAATAATGGTTTAAACTAGAAAGCTATCTCTAAAGATCCTGGGAAAGTCATTCATATTTATTTGTAAAGGTTGTGGGAAGGTCACACTTACATTTAAAGCCCTCTGATTGATTTGGGGAAGGTAATTAGCACTTACCTGTAAAAACGCCTGGACAGGTAATTGATATTTACCTGTAAAACCATCCGGATAGATAATTAGCACTTACCTGTAAAAACATCTGGATAGATCTTTGGAAGGTAACAATTACCTGTAAAACTGTCTGGATAGATCTTGGGAAGGTAAAACCGTCCAGATAAATAATTGGGAAGGAAGTTGGCACTTACCTGTAAAACCATCCGGATAGATATTGGGAAGGTAATCTGTAGTAATGTCACCGGCTACAAATGATTCCTCCGTACATATGTCTCTCAGTAGGGGAACATTATGTGTCACACCTATAAACAAACCAATAATTATATATAACCAGTCATATCAATTATCATTGTGCACAGCTTCCTGGTCAAATTACCTTGCACTACAAACGTAGGCCTTTTGAATATTCCAAATCAACTATTTCTGACTTTTACTCTTTAAATATCCCCAATCAACTATTTCTGACTTTTACTCTTTCAATATCCCCCATCAACAATTTCAGAATAAGACCTTTTGAATATCACCTGACAGAATAGCACATTCATAATACATATGTATTGGGTTTTCCTCCCTCTTTTTCAAAAGTTTTGTTGATAGAAACCATTATGATGTAAGAGAGCTAAGCCAAGAAATGAAAATGGGCATTTAATCCATGACTACATGTAAGGGGGGAATTGTTATGAAGATCGCTGGAAATCATTAATGCTAAAACTTTTGAAAAGACCTTGTTAGACATATTTTTCTATGATTTATTGTTGTATACCCCATATCAGTGGTAGTGTAACATGTACTTCATTTGGTTGTTAACACTAACTATAAATCTGAATACATGACTTCAACGAGAATAAGATCTGGCTAATGTTCAGTGTAATAACAAAAGTACATTGATTTTCTTGTATGTAACATGACAGTAATACAACATAATATAAAAGTGTGACAAGTGATATCGAAATGACATTAGGAATCCATGATGAAAGGCGAAAACTGTGGCATTTCTTCCTGTTTATGCAACTGCATTGAGTTGCCCATTCAGGGGTTACGTTATTGTTGGTGACATCAATATCAATCAATTTCATGACCTGTCAAGGTCATTTAAGGTCACAGATGTAATAACAATTGCTATCTAGGTTTCACAAGCAAATGAGAAAATTTAAGGGATAATATATCATGGTTACAAAATTGCAAATATTTTTAATGACGCCATTCATACATATTTCATCCATTCTTTTGTCACTCTTTTCACCTCCCAATATCATCATGAAAAGCCTAAACTATATAAAGATGATACCCTTTATGACATAGCTATCCAGGGCGTTCACCATCACGTCCAAAGCTTCCTGCCTTGTTTTACCGTAGGTCACCAGCTGTAAAGATATAGTTCATGGCATTGTAAACCATACTTATGCAGGTTTGCTTGGTGAATGTTGATCAATTAGAAAATTAGAAAAGAGTTTGTGGAATAAGTGATAAGCATGGTAGGGCAGTTTTACCCTATAATTTATAGTAAAATAGGTCTCACCTTACAGATCATAGGTCTCACCTTACAGATCATAGGTCTTACCTTACAGATCATAGGTCTTACCTTACAGATCATAGGTCTTACCTTACAGATCATAGGTCTTACCTTACAGATCATAGGTCTTACCTTACAGATCATAGGTCTTACCTTACAGATCATAGGTCTTACCTTACAGATCATAGGTCTTACCTTACAGATCATAGGTCTTACCTTACAGATCATAGGTCTTACCTTACAGATCATAGGTCTTACCTTACAGATCATAGGTCTTACCTTACAGATCATAGGTCTTACCTTACAGATCATAGGTCTTACCTTACAGATCATAGGTCTTACCTTACAGATCATAGGTCTTACCTTACAGATCATAGGTCTTACCTTACAGATCATAGGTCTTACCTTACAGATCATAGCATCGTAGTAGACACTGATCTCACTACCCTCCTTGATACCACTGTCACATCGCACCTGTAAAAAGGACATCACACATATGTAGAAATTACAAACTAAAAGGATGAAAACGGATGACATGGTAGTATAATTTATATCTTATCCTTGTGTATTGAGGCAGCAGTTTAGTTCTTGTGAGTTGTTGCTGTGGAATATACTTTCCTTTTTGTTTACTTTGATCAACAAATGAACATTGGAAAGTAGTACACAGTAGTACATTGATAACACACAGTAGTACATTTATAACACACAGTAGTACATTAATAACACACAGTAGTACATTGATAACACACAGTAGTACATTGATAACACACAGTAGAAATATTGATAACACACAGTAGCACATTGATAACACACAGTAGTACATTGATAACACACAGTAGTACATTGATAACACACAGTAGTACATTGATGACATACAGTAGTACATTGATAACACACAGTAGTACATTGATAACACACAGTTGTACATTGATAACACACATTAGTACATTGATATGACACTGGAGTTTCTGATCTCTCCATCACATTGTCTATCTCTGACCAAATACATATGATCAAATGTAAAGTCACATACCTTGTCAATATGAGTTGGTTCGATGTACTTCGTTAGTCTACCAATAGATGGCATACCAAAGTTTTTGTAGGGATCCTAAAATATCAGGGTAATCAGGTCAGCACAAAAAAATAAAAATCAGAATATGCTATTGTTGTCAAAGAATGAAGAAGGACTATTCTAGATAGATATATTTGGGAGGAACGGGAGGCACTTTTTCTGAACCCCTACTGTCAGTGATTATTATTTCAAGTCGCCTATCAACCATATATTATTAAGTATGAGTGCCTTAGGGATTAAGTCCCCAGGGGCAGAGCTGAACCAGGGGTTAGTCCTCGAAAAATGACTGCATCTTCATGCCTAGCAACTGTACATGCAGTCATTTGGAGGGGATCTCAAATGTTTCCATGTTATGAATGTCTAAGGGACTAATTACTCAGGGGAGGGGCTGGGCCCCCCTCCCACTACACCATACCTCTAGCTACCTCCACCTCATCCTTCTATATTCATATCTAAATTACCTCCACCTCATCCCTCTATATTCATATCTAAATAAGGCCTTCTTCTAATCAATTTTTATGAAATTATAAGAAACATACAATTTCATTATCCATTTCACACTTAGAAACTTATAGGCCATATACATTTTTGGTAATATCATCCAAGCTGGACCTCATAAAAATCTTTTAAAAAAATCAATAATTTTATTAAGTAACAATAACTATTCTTTACAGGTTATATAATATTATTTATTATAACAAATAATGTACCTCGGCATACACTCTGCACTCAAATGCCCACCCATCTATAGGGATGTCTGACTGTTGGTGGAGTAACTTATGGCCTGAAATAAATACAACATGCTACAGTCATACATTTGTATTAGTCAAGATTTTGGGAAAAACCTTTCTTATAACATACGTTTATACATGTATATGATTAACTTCACAAACACATACATGTAGCATATTTCTAAAATGTAAAAGTAATATTAATGGTTACCATAACCGGTGATACACTCTGTAATGGGATGGATTTTTTTACCTTTTGCGGACCGGATTATCTGGTGAACGAGGTCTATGCCGGTGATACACTCTGTAATGGGATGGGTTTTTTACCTTTTGTGGACCAGATCATCTGGTGAACGAGGTCAATGTCGGTGATACACTCTGTAATAGGATGGTTTTTTTACCTTTTGCGGGCCAGATCATCTGGTGAACGAGGTCAATGCCGGTGATACACTCTGTAATGGGATGTTTTTTTACCTTTTGCGGCCGGATCATCTGGTGAACGAGGTCAATGTCGGTGATACACTCTGTAATGGGATGGGTTTTTTACCTTTTGCGGACCGGATCATCTGGTGAATGAGGTCAATGCCGGTGATACACTCTGTAATAGGATGTTTTTTTACCTTTTGCGGACCGGATCATCTGGTGAACAAGGTCTATGCCGGTGATACACTCTGTAATGGGATGGGTTTTTACCTTTTGCAGACCGGATCATCTGGTGAACGAGGTCAATGCCGGTGATACACTCTGTAATAGGATGTTTTTTTACCTTTTGCGGACCGGATCATCTGGTGAACGAGGTCAATGCCGGTGATACACTCTGTAATGGGATGGGTTTTTTACCTTTTGCGGCCGGATCATCTGGTGAACGAGGTCAATGCCGGTGATACACTCTGTAATGGGATGGGTTTTTTACCTTTTGCGGACCGGATCATCTGGTGAACAAGGTCTATGCCGGTGATACACTCTGTAATGGGATGGGATTTTTACCTTTTGCGGACCGGATCATCTGGTGAACAAGGTCTATGCCGGTGATACACTCTGTAATGGGATGCTCAACCTGAAGTCTGGTATTCATCTCAAGGAAGTAGAAGTTCTTCTTTGAGTCGACGAGAAACTCCACCGTGCCTATTATCAAGAGGTTGTATCAAATGTTTCTGTATACTGTTACTGTAATATACTCAACAGAGTTATAATTAGAGAACAAAATCATCCATGTCTTTTGATGTGAAATTCCGAAAACTTCACTTTCTATTCAAAGATACTTAATTACTTGTATTGAAAAATAGTCATTTTCAACTCATTGTTACAAGTATGGATAAATTCAGTATTGAATTGTCTGGAACAACTAAGTTCATTTATACAGAGAAGGAAGTCCCTCAAAGCTGATCTATTTAACATAACAGGAAGAGATTACACCCATCAGATTCTGTGTAATGTAAATAGTACAATCAGGATTAATTAACATTACCAGGTATTACTTTCGCCACTATCTAATTTGAGAAATTTTAAAGTCAATTTGTGCAAATTTATACCAAATAAAACACATCTAGCAAAATAAACATTTAATATTATTACATCCCATCTTACCAATATTATATTTCAGAAATTTTATATGAACATTAACAAAATGATGGATTAATACCTATTAAAAGGAAGTAGGTCTGTCAGAAAAGCCCCTTTATCGTCCCTAGATAGAGGAGACTTCTCCAAAGTCTAAATCGACTCTCAAGTGAAACTCTTTTGCAATTATAAAAGGTGCATCATCTACTTTTATTTTTGCAAAATGTGAAAACAAATTACAACACATGTAAGATTTTTTGAAACACTAACTGTACCCAAACTTATATTGAATAGTCTTCCCCATCCAAGGAAACATAGTTACCTGCAGATGTATAGCCCACAGCTGTGGCTAGCTGTGTTGCCTGCTCTCCCATTGCTCGGCGCATGTCTGGATCAATGAAGGTACTGTAACAGGACAACAATAGGTACATTCAGGAGTGACGATACCTTCAGGGGCAGTACCTTATTTTTAAGACTAATGATACTTTACAGATCCAAGAAGTTCATGACTTAAATTCTAAATATGACAATAATGAATTAAACCCAACCAACTTTTTGAAATGACCTTTCCTGGGAATTTATTTTTTGTGTGTTTGGGATTTTATTAACAGACACAATCTGACAGATTCAAAGTGACTCATTCTTCTATCTAGGTACGTAGACAGATTTAATTGTAAAAAGTTTTTTATTATCGATTTCCTCATTTAAAATTCAGATTAAAATTGTACTGTAATACACTGTATTTAGAGGTTATTATATGACCATTCCCTACTCTGCATTGGCCCTTGACTAATATCAGCCCTTGGGCCAACATTTTTATCATATACGGCTATAACATCAAGTTTATTAGCAATAACACATAAAACACGGCAAATTTATATTTTATATTTCATATCATCACATTTTACCTTTAAACAATTAAAGAACAATGAACGGTATAAAAAATACAGATGCAGTGTGTACATCACCAATGGAAATAAGAGTTTATAAAACAGACAGATATAATAGACATCAGTCTATTTTATAAACTTTGATTCCATTGCATCATCTCTTTCCATTTCAATCTTTACACGATATTCTTAACTCAAACTTGTTATTTTATCCCCTTTCTCATTTTTTTAATTTTCTAAGTCTATCCTGCTGATGTTTTTAAAATACACAAGGTTTCATCTTATCCGATCTTAATTTTGTTTCACAAATAATCTTTAGGGATTATTCTGGCCCTAACTGACCGTAGTTGTTGATGGGCCGTTAAATACAAATAAAAAAACATACAAACACTACCAGTTTGTTTCACTCACTGTCCAATAATTGAGGCATAATCATTTCTGATATAACTGTTGAACCAAAAGTTAAACAGATATGGCGTGTGTCAGGCAGATATGGTGGATGTCGAGTGGATATGGCATATGTCAGGCAGATATGGCGCATGGCGGGTGAATATGGGTCAGTCCAGGATACAGCCTGTGCGCAGCTAGCATTATCACACAGCAAGACATTTAACCTATATCACAGACAAGTATATGATAATTAAATAAGACCAACCTTGGAGCTTCTTCAATCACTTTCTGGTTCCTCCGTTGTATGGAGCACTCTCTCTCGTTCAGCCACAACGCATTTCCATGTTTGTCACATAGAACCTGTCCAACCAAACAATCACAGCTTTTAACAACTAAATACAATGCATTATGCAAAACACTTAAGAATTACATAAATTCTGACACAAATGATAGACTGTATTAAGTTTTTTTTCTCTCATAAATTAAAGGTCACACATTGACCTTACAATGGACTTTCCAGACAGAAAGAATCTGACTTTCTTGTGCACACAGAACATCGTATTTCCTTCCTATGTAATTGCTCTCTATTCGAATTGAGATCTTTTAAAAAATATATACATATATTCGTTTAAGATATTTTAAACAAAGCATATATTTTTTTTAATGAATTGTAACAAGTCTGCCATAAGTTAACTCCAATTTTGAATTTCAGCAGTTGTTTCTGAAAACTCTGTACATTGAAGAACACGTGATGCCTGTTTTATGGCGCGAGACCTACCTGGACTTCTATATGTCGTGGGTTATCTATAAACTTTTCTATTAACATCCTATCGTCCCCAAAGCTGGAGGCAGCTTCCTGCTTACTCAGGCGGAATGCATCTCTGTAATTCAAAGGAATATCAGCTTTATCCTACAAGTATATCACGTCTCCAGCAGGTCAATTGCAGAGTTCTTCTCACTTTTATACTTCTTATTTTTATTTCTATGCATAGACAATCTTCACATCATATCTTTCTCTACCCAAACTCATCTATGGATTATTCCACGCAAACCTTGTATCTTTACCTGTCCCTCCACCAGCTGTCCTTCTACACCTCCATCCTACCCATTCCTACCAAAGTAACACTCAACTCCAGTTATTTGCTTTGCCTAGTTTTACATCCTAATACAGGCTGTTTACCCAAACAAAAGAGTGCTGTATTTTCCCAATTTCAGAGAAAATAATGCTACATTTCCCCCAATTCATGTAGGATTAGTATGTGGTAAAAAGAAAACACTCACTTCACCTCTTGATCATTCCACGCAAACCTCATGCTTGTAACTCTCCACCAGCTGTCCTTCTACTCCCCCCACACCTCCATCCTACCCCCACACCCACCAAGCTAACCCTCACCTCGCCTCCTGATCATCCCACACAAACCTAATACTTGTAACCCTCCATCAGCTTTACTTCTACTCCCCCCCACCCTCACACACCTCCATCCTACCCCCACACCCACCAAACTAACACTTACCTCGCCTCCTGATCATCCCACATGAACCTCATACTTGTAACCCTCCATCAGCTTTGCTTCTACTCCCCTCACACACCTCCATCCTACCCCCACACCCACCAAACTAACACTTACCTCGCCTCCTGATCATCCCACACAAACCTAATACTTGTAACCCTCCATCAGCTTTACTTCTACTCCCCCCCACCCTCACACACCTCCATCCTACCCCCACACCCACCAAACTAACACTTACCTCGCCTCCTGATCATCCCACACAAACCTAATACTTGTAACCCTCCATCAGCTTTGTTTCTACGCCCCGCACCCACCTCCATCCTACCCCCACACCCACCAAGCTAACCCTCACCTCGCCTCCTGATCATCCCACACCAACCTAATACTTGTAACCCTCCATCAGCTTTGTTTCTACTCCCCACACCCACCTCCATCCAACCCCCACACCCACCAAGCTAACCCTCACCTCGCCTCCTGATCATCCCACACAAACCTAATACTTGTAACCCTCCATCAGCTTTGCTTCTACTCCCCTCACACACCTCCATCCTACCCCCACACCCACCAAACTAACACTTACCTCGCCTCCTGATCATCCCACACAAACCTAATACTTGTAACCCTCCATCAGCTTTGCTTCTACTCCCCTCACACACCTCCATCCTACCCCCACACCCACCAAACTAACACTTACCTCGCCTCCTGATCATCCCACATGAACCTCATACTTGTAACCCTCCATCAGCTTTGCTTCTACTCCCCTCACACACCTCCATCCTACCCCCACACCCACCAAACTAACACTTACCTCGCCTCCTGATCATCCCACACAAACCTAATACTTGCAACCCTCTATCAGCTTTGCTTCTACTCCCCCCACACACCTCCATCCTACCATTTACCTCTCCTCCTGATCATTCCCACTTGAACCTAATACTTGTAACCCTCCATCAGCTTTGCTTCTACTCCCCCCACACACCTCGATCCTACCCCCACACCCACCAAACTAACACTCACCTGGCCTCCTGATCATCCCACACGAACCTAATACTTGTAACCCTCCATCAGCTTTGTTTCTACTCCCCAAACCCACCTCCATCCTACCCCCATACCCACTAAGCTAACCCTCACCTCGCCTCCTGATCATCCCACATGAACCTCATACTTGTAACCCTCCATCAGCTTTGCTTCTACTCCCCCCACACACCTCGATCCTACCCCCACACCCACCAAACTAACACTCACCTGGCCTCCTGATCATCCCACACGAACCTAATACTTGTAACCCTCCATCAGCTTTGTTTCTACTCCCCAAACCCACCTCCATCCTACCCCCATACCCACTAAGCTAACCCTCACCTCGCCTCCTGATCATCCCACATGAACCTCATACTTGTAACCCTCCATCAGCTTTGCTTCTACTCCCCCCACACACCTCGATCCTACCCCCACACCCACCAAACTAACACTCACCTGGCCTCCTGATCATCCCACACGAACCTAATACTTGTAACCCTCCATCAGCTTTGTTTCTACTCCCCAAACCCACCTCCATCCTACCCCCATACCCACTAAGCTAACCCTCACCTCGCCTCCTGATCATCCCACATGAACCTCATACTTGTAACCCTCCATCAGCTTTGCTTCTACTCCCCCCACACACCTCGATCCTACCCCCACACCCACCAAACTAACACTCACCTGGCCTCCTGATCATCCCACACGAACCTAATACTTGTAACCCTCCATCAGCTTTGTTTCTACTCCCCAAACCCACCTCCATCCTACCCCCATACCCACTAAGCTAACCCTCACCTCGCCTCCTGATCATCCCACATGAACCTCATACTTGTAACCCTCCATCAGCTTTGCTTCTACTCCCCCCACACACCTCGATCCTACCCCCACACCCACCAAACTAACACTCACCTGGCCTCCTGATCATCCCACACGAACCTAATACTTGTAACCCTCCATCAGCTTTGTTTCTACTCCCCAAACCCACCTCCATCCTACCCCCATACCCACTAAGCTAACCCTCACCTCGCCTCCTGATCATCCCACATGAACCTCATACTTGTAACCCTCCATCAGCTTTGCTTCTACTCCCCCCACACACCTCGATCCTACCCCCACACCCACCAAACTAACACTCACCTGGCCTCCTGATCATCCCACACGAACCTAATACTTGTAACCCTCCATCAGCTTTGTTTCTACTCCCCAAACCCACCTCCATCCTACCCCCATACCCACTAAGCTAACCCTCACCTCGCCTCCTGATCATCCCACATGAACCTCATACTTGTAACCCTCCATCAGCTTTGCTTCTACTCCCCCCACACACCTCGATCCTACCCCCACACCCACCAAACTAACACTCACCTGGCCTCCTGATCATCCCACACGAACCTAATACTTGTAACCCTCCATCAGCTTTGTTTCTACTCCCCAAACCCACCTCCATCCTACCCCCATACCCACTAAGCTAACCCTCACCTCGCCTCCTGATCATCCCACATGAACCTCATACTTGTAACCCTCCATCAGCTTTGCTTCTACTCCCCCCACACACCTCGATCCTACCCCCACACCCACCAAACTAACACTCACCTGGCCTCCTGATCATCCCACACGAACCTAATACTTGTAACCCTCCATCAGCTTTGTTTCTACTCCCCAAACCCACCTCCATCCTACCCCCATACCCACTAAGCTAACCCTCACCTCGCCTCCTGATCATCCCACATGAACCTCATACTTGTAACCCTCCATCAGCTTTGCTTCTACTCCCCCCACACACCTCGATCCTACCCCCACACCCACCAAACTAACACTCACCTGGCCTCCTGATCATCCCACACGAACCTAATACTTGTAACCCTCCATCAGCTTTGTTTCTACTCCCCAAACCCACCTCCATCCTACCCCCATACCCACTAAGCTAACCCTCACCTCGCCTCCTGATCATCCCACATGAACCTCATACTTGTAACCCTCCATCAGCTTTGCTTCTACTCCCCCCACACACCTCGATCCTACCCCCACACCCACCAAACTAACACTCACCTGGCCTCCTGATCATCCCACACGAACCTAATACTTGTAACCCTCCATCAGCTTTGTTTCTACTCCCCAAACCCACCTCCATCCTACCCCCATACCCACTAAGCTAACCCTCACCTCGCCTCCTGATCATCCCACATGAACCTCATACTTGTAACCCTCCATCAGCTTTGCTTCTACTCCCCCCACACACCTCGATCCTACCCCCACACCCACCAAACTAACACTCACCTGGCCTCCTGATCATCCCACACGAACCTAATACTTGTAACCCTCCATCAGCTTTGTTTCTACTCCCCAAACCCACCTCCATCCTACCCCCATACCCACTAAGCTAACCCTCACCTCGCCTCCTGATCATCCCACATGAACCTCATACTTGTAACCCTCCATCAGCTTTGCTTCTACTCCCCCCACACACCTCGATCCTACCCCCACACCCACCAAACTAACACTCACCTGGCCTCCTGATCATCCCACACGAACCTAATACTTGTAACCCTCCATCAGCTTTGTTTCTACTCCCCAAACCCACCTCCATCCTACCCCCATACCCACTAAGCTAACCCTCACCTCGCCTCCTGATCATCCCACATGAACCTCATACTTGTAACCCTCCATCAGCTTTGCTTCTACTCCCCCCACACACCTCGATCCTACCCCCACACCCACCAAACTAACACTCACCTGGCCTCCTGATCATCCCACACGAACCTAATACTTGTAACCCTCCATCAGCTTTGTTTCTACTCCCCAAACCCACCTCCATCCTACCCCCATACCCACTAAGCTAACCCTCACCTCGCCTCCTGATCATCCCACATGAACCTCATACTTGTAACCCTCCATCAGCTTTGCTTCTACTCCCCCCACACACCTCGATCCTACCCCCACACCCACCAAACTAACACTCACCTGGCCTCCTGATCATCCCACACGAACCTAATACTTGTAACCCTCCATCAGCTTTGTTTCTACTCCCCAAACCCACCTCCATCCTACCCCCATACCCACTAAGCTAACCCTCACCTCGCCTCCTGATCATCCCACATGAACCTCATACTTGTAACCCTCCATCAGCTTTGCTTCTACTCCCCCCACACACCTCGATCCTACCCCCACACCCACCAAACTAACACTCACCTGGCCTCCTGATCATCCCACACGAACCTAATACTTGTAACCCTCCATCAGCTTTGTTTCTACTCCCCAAACCCACCTCCATCCTACCCCCATACCCACTAAGCTAACCCTCACCTCGCCTCCTGATCATCCCACATGAACCTCATACTTGTAACCCTCCATCAGCTTTGCTTCTACTCCCCCCACACACCTCGATCCTACCCCCACACCCACCAAACTAACACTCACCTGGCCTCCTGATCATCCCACACGAACCTAATACTTGTAACCCTCCATCAGCTTTGTTTCTACTCCCCAAACCCACCTCCATCCTACCCCCATACCCACTAAGCTAACCCTCACCTCGCCTCCTGATCATCCCACATGAACCTCATACTTGTAACCCTCCATCAGCTTTGCTTCTACTCCCCCCACACACCTCGATCCTACCCCCACACCCACCAAACTAACACTCACCTGGCCTCCTGATCATCCCACACGAACCTAATACTTGTAACCCTCCATCAGCTTTGTTTCTACTCCCCAAACCCACCTCCATCCTACCCCCATACCCACTAAGCTAACCCTCACCTCGCCTCCTGATCATCCCACATGAACCTCATACTTGTAACCCTCCATCAGCTTTGCTTCTACTCCCCCCACACACCTCGATCCTACCCCCACACCCACCAAACTAACACTCACCTGGCCTCCTGATCATCCCACACGAACCTAATACTTGTAACCCTCCATCAGCTTTGTTTCTACTCCCCAAACCCACCTCCATCCTACCCCCATACCCACTAAGCTAACCCTCACCTCGCCTCCTGATCATCCCACATGAACCTCATACTTGTAACCCTCCATCAGCTTTGCTTCTACTCCCCCCACANCATCCTACCCCACACCCACCAAACTAACACTTACCTGGCCTCCTGATCATCCCACACAAACCTAATACTTGTAACCCTCCATCAGCTGTCCTTCTACCCCACCTCATACCTCCATCCTACCCCCACACCCACCAAACTAACACTTACCTCGCCTCCTGATCATCCCACACAAACCTAATACTTGTAACCCTCCATCAGCTGTCCTTCTACCCCCCCCCCACCTCCATCCTCCCCCCACACCCACCAAGCTAACCCTCACCTCGCCTCCTGATCATCCCACACAAACCTAATACTTGTACCCCTCCATCAGCTGTCCTTCTACCCCCCCCACACCTCCATCCTACCCCCACACCCACCAAACTAACACTCACCTTGCCTCCTGATCGTTCCAGGCAATCCTCATGCCTTTACCTCCCCCACCTGCTGATGCCTTAACCATAACTGGATACCCTGGAAATGTCAAATACATCGTGATGTTGTAGTAATGAACATGCTGAGGTAAAAATAGGGTAGCTGAATTTAGCAGCATATAAGTTAGCATCACTCATCGGGGTTTAAATAAGGACCTGAAAAGAATGACTTCAAAAAGCATTTTCCTTCTGTACATCTATTTTCCTTACTGGAATTGCCTCTGGTTTTAAGAGAGGAATATATTTCACTGCCTTCATTTACTAGTAAATAAAACTAAATCCCCTTATTGCAGTGACAATTCATAACAAATTCTGAAAATCTGAATAGCTCTTATCTGGAGAAGGCTTGTTGAGGAAAAGATGGTGGATAGCTGGTGCATGCTGACCATGGTATAAGCTCACTTGGCCAAATAATGAGTTAGGACAAATTTGGTTTCCCTTTGCACCTTTTTTATCTTGAATTTTCCCTTATTTTCCCTTGTCCCTAATAAATGAAACTAAAAATACATTTATAGAGATTGAAACGGGAACGTTCTGAAATTAAATTACACTCTATCCCTTTTTAAAAATTTCTTTAGAAGGTGTAATTTCCTACTTTTCATGATATGTTTTTGTACCTATTTCGTTAGCGTATTTGACACAGGCATCGGCGTCATCCACTTCCCCATCGTGTCCAGGGATCATGTTCACACCAGCTTTAGTCGCGATTCTCTTGCTCTCAATCTTATCTCCCATAGCATGAATAGAACCACTGCTGGGGCCGATGAACTCGACTCCAATATCCGCCTAAAGCAAAAACAAATAGAACATTTCATGTGTCAACCTCTGAAGCCTCAAATGAGGTAGATCTCCCTCATTCCATATCTCAAATAAGGGGTAAAGGGCTCAGTGTGAAAACATTTTGTGGAATTTTTGTCCATGGATGAAGTGTTCACCACACAAATCTCACATTATTGGGCATATAGTAATAACGACTGCATTATGAAAGTTTTAAAAGTGAATAAACAACGAATAATAGTACTTTGCCACTGGTGGTCTAGATCCTCAGAGGATATGTAAAATTTACTCCATTATATCTTTTTAGTACTGATGATATACAAATTATGACTGAAACAATATTCCATCAAAAAGTCGTTTCAAAATTATTGTTATCAATTTGTATTACCCGGAGTGGTTGACACCTATGATATTTGACAAAGTTACACTAAAGGATCCCCATAACATAGCCAAAATGTAACTACCCGGTATGCATTGGTAACACTTTTAAAGTATGGATATAGATTTCAAGTTAATTGGTAAATCATTTCTGAATGGAAAAGCATACCTTGCAGAACTTTTATGGAAAAATATTAAAAATGAAATAAAAATGGAAGAGTCAACAACAGTGTTTTGTTTATAAAATGACATGAGGCCAGACCAGGATTTGAACCTCTAACCTCTTATTATCATTCTGAATCTCTTACAAATTAAACTACCTTGTCAACAATAGTTCACTGGCCCTGTTGTGCTTCAGGTATATACAAAACAAAATTAAGGGGAAGTAACTATGTTTAAGAAAAACTACAGTGGAATTCTCTAGTGTTTTACTTGCAGTTGGACATGGATCCTTAAAAATAATAAAGATAATAGGGAGCAGGGATATTTTATCTTAGAAAGTGTAACAAGGTGGTATAAAAACCATCGAGAAAAGCACCTCTTCAAATTATGTTATATCTATTCCATTATTTCATAATAACAAAGACTGAGGCTTACTACCCCAGAGAATACACAGGATGTTTGTGTTCCCATTTAATTCCAAATAGATTCCATGAATATGGTGGAATACTGATATTTTGTTCACAGTGAAACATGAGTGAAAACTATTAGTATATTCTGCAATACAATCCCCAACATTTTCATCATTGTAGATCATTTAAAAATGTAATAAATAGAAAATTTAATGGTTTTCTCAATGAATACCAAATATACTTTCAACAGTATCTATGGAAAAGATGGAATTCATAAAATCTGTTCAACTTTATTATCAAAAGCCATACCTATAATCACCCACCCTAAAATGTCATTCAGCCAAAGACAAAAGTCTTGTTTCAGTTTCCAGATTTGGTATACCAGTCCTATAAATAAAACACATCAAGTGATGATGAAACCTAGAATTTGAAATACAAAACTAACATAATTTAGCCTCACAAATTATGAACAGCTAACACTTACAAGTTTGGCAGCAAACACTGTGTTTTCTGAGAGAAAACCATATCCAGGATGAACCTATAATCAAGTGAAAATACACAGTCAAAATCTAATAGTTTGTGATGCCATCTGCTATTGAAATTTTAGTTTTAAACACAGCTTATTATATACATTATTGAAAAAAAAAAACAAGCCTCACTGCTGACTTTACAAAGAAGATAAGAAAAATGGCATTTACTTTACAAAGAAGATAAGAAAATTGACATTTACTATTTGGAAAAAAAATAACTACAAACTTTGCATGATTTTTTTCCGCATAAACGAAATCAGGGGTGTACAGTTCCACTGGCCAATGCACAGTGCTTGAATATTTCATGTCAGAGCTACTGAAAATATGCAATATTTAACATAAATATATAGCTTGAGTTAGTATTGATTTGGTTGAAATAGTTCTGTTTTTAGGTCAGTTTTGGAAAGGAGAGGCCTGTCTCAATAAGGTAACATAAAACCTTAAGGCTCCATGTCACAGTCAGGTAGCATACAACCTTAAGTCTACATGTCACAGTAAGGTAGCATACATCCTTTATTATCCATGTCACAGTAAGGTAGCATACACCCTTAAGTCTCAATGTCACAGTCAGGTAGCATATACCCTGAAGTCTCCATGCCACAGTTATGTAGCCTACATCCTTAATTCTTCATGTCACAGTAGGGTAGCATGCAACTTAAGACTCCATGTCACAGTCAGGTAGCATAAAACCTTAAGTCTCCATGTCACAGTCAGGTAGCATACAACCTTAAGTCTCCATGTCACAGTCAGGTAGCATATAACCTTAACTCTGCATGTCACAGTAGATATCATACAACCTTAAGTCTGCATGTCATAGTAAGGTAGCATACATCCTTAAATATACATGTCACAGTAAGGTAGCATACACCCTTAAGTGACCATGTCTCAGTAAGGTAGCATACATCCTTAAATATACATGTCACAGTCAGGTAGCATACATCCTAAAGACTGCATGTCACAGTCAGGTAGCATACAACCTTAAGTCTCCATGTCACAATCAGGTAGCATACAACCTTAAGTCTGCATGTCACAGTAAGGTAGCATACATCCTTAATTCTCCATGTCACAGACAGGTAGCATACATCCTTAAGTCTCCATGTCACAGTGAGGTAGCATACAACCTTAATTATACATGTCACAGTGAGGTAGCATGCAACTTAAGACTCCATGTCACAGTCAGGTAGCATACAACCTTAATTATACATGGCACAGTGAGGTAGCATGCAACTTAAGACTCCATTTCACAGTCAGGTAGCATACAACCTTAAGTCTGCATGTCACGGTAAGGTAGCATACATCCTTAATTCTCCATGTCACAGACAGGTAGCATACAACCTTAAGGCTGCATGTCACAGTAAGGCAGCATACATCCTTAATTCTCCATGTCACAGTCAGGTAGCCTACATCCTTAAGTCTCCATGTCACAGTGAGGAAGCATACAACCTTAATTATACATGTCACAGTAAGGGAGCATACATCCTTAATTATACATGTCACAGTCAGGTAGCATGCAACTTAACACTCCATGTCACAGTCAGGTAGCATACATCCTAAAGACTGCATGTCACAGTCAGGTATCATACAACCTTAAGTCTGCATGTCATAGTAAGGTAGCATACATCCTTAAATATACATGTCACAGTCAGGTAGCCTACATCCTTAAGTCTCCATGTCACAGTGAGGAAGCATACAACCTTAATTATACATGTCACAGTCAGGTAGCATACATCCTAAAGACTGCATGTCACAGTTAGGTAGCATACAACCTTAAGTCTCCATGTCACAGTCAGGTAGCATACAACCTTAAGTCTGCATGTCACAGTAAGGTAGCATACATCCTTAATTCTCCATGTCACAGTCAGGTAGCATACATCCTTAAGTCTCCATGTCACAGTGAGGTAGCATACAACCTTAATTATACATGTCACAGTCAGGTAGCATGCAACTTAAGACTCGATGTCACAGTCAGGTAGCATACAACCTTAAGTCTCCATGTCACAGTCAGGTATCATACAACCTTAAGTCTGCATGTCACGGTAAGGTAGCATACATCCTTAATTCTCCATGTCACAGTCAGGTAGCATGTAACCTTAAGTCTGCATGTCACAGTAAGGTATCATACATCCTTAATTCTCCATGTCACAGACCGGTAGCATACATCCTTAAGTCTCCATGTCCCAGTCAGGTAGCATATAACCTTAAGTCTGCATGTCACAGTAAGGTATCATACAACCTTAATTCTTCATGTCAGTCAGGTAGCATACAACCTTAATTATACATGTCACAGTAAGGTAGCATACATCCTTAAGTCTGCATGTCACAGTCAGGTAGCATGCATCCTTAATTATACATGTCACAGTCAGGTAGCATGCAACTTAAGACTCCATGTCACAGTCAGGTAGCATATAACCTTAAGTCTGCACGTCACAGTAAGGTATCATAAATCCTTAAATATACATGTCACAGTCAGGTAGCATGCAACTTAAGACTCCATGTCACAGTCAGGTAGCATACAACCTTAGGTCTGCAGGTCACAGTAAGGTAGCATACATCCTTAAATATACATGTCACAGTCAGGTAGCATACATCCTAAAGACTGCATGTCATAGTCAGGTAGCATACAACCTTAAGTCTGCATGTCACAGTCAGGTAGCATACATCCTTAATTATCAATGTCACAGTAAGGTAGCATACATCATTAAGTATCCATGTCACAGTCAGGTAGCATACAACCTTAAGTCTCCAAGTCACGGTCAGGTAGCATACAACCTTAAGTCTCCATGGCACAATAAGATAGCATACATCCTAAAGTCTCCATGTCACAGTCAGGTAGCATACATCCTTAAGTCTAACTTACAGCCTGAGCACCAGTCTCCTTGATAGCCTGTAGAATGACATCCATGTTAAGATAACTCTGGTTGGTAGGGGCGGGGCCGACATTGACAGCTTCATCAGCCATGAGAGTGTGTACCTGTATAAAACAATCATCATACATGTATCACATATAAGTTAATCATAAACTCAGTGCCAGGTTGTGACAAGAAAAATATCAACACTTCAACTTTAAAATATTGTGAGTTTTTTTCAGGTTTTCAACACTACTCCTCATGTTTTAAATATTCAAATTTTGTTCACAGGTGAAGACAACTTGTACCAGGTATTAACTTCATATTCTAAATCATTACATTAATTATTTCTTAAAACAAACAAGAAAAGACATTATAAACTCCCACTTCAATCCCAAAATAAGACAGACAAGGAGGATTTCCTGCACCGTATGTGGTACCAATGATGTCTCCTGTCATCCAGGGAAGTTAATCAGCCACAAATGACCCAGGGCACAGTGAACATTAACCATACCAGACAATGGAATCCCATACTTAGAAATTTAACCACAATGACTTACTGATCTCGAGTCGACATCACTGTGTATAGCTACAGTCTTGATACCCAAGCGTTTACAGGTTTTGATCACTCGACATGCTATTTCTCCTCTGTTCGCGATGAGAATCTTATCAAATGTCTGAAATAAGATTGATTCATATGATAATAACAATGTGTTCTGGGTACAAAATTGATAAAAATTGAAATGCAAATTTGTTGACATACCATCTTTATGTATAATATGCTTTTTCTATGTATAAAATTACAGAGAATCTAAACTTGCATCAAAGACAAACACAAAAGTGTAAATTCCTTAAATGATATATCCTTTGTTGTACACGTATTTGATTTAAGGATACTAAATTTCTGAAAGCAAAAATGACCTGTTCATGAAAATGTTTCATTTTAAAATTGATAATAGTATTTTTTTATTTATTTTTTATCTCCTATTAACAGCTAAGGTAATTTAAGGACATGTGTTCATGTGTGTAATGCATGCATGCGTGTGTGTATGTGTGCTGTAGGCAGTGTGTTGGTGTATTTGCCCCCTTGCGATAGCCCAAATCTGATGCTGACTTTAGGGTGCTACATCACTGAAGTACAATGCTGAAGGCTCCAAACATAGCATTCCACCGGGTCACACTTTACTGGCCATGGGTGAACCACTTGTTCATTATGATGTTGTAATATTGATAAAACTGACAACTGAGAACCTTGTGTAACAACATACCTTCTCATTAGGATCAGATCTGTCATTCCAATATAGGTCTTGGGACTGCAAGGTTGTACGTGTGCTGAAGGTCCTATTGAAGTGTCTCCAAGAGAACTAAAAACAGATTTCATAGAAAATACAAGGCTGAAAATTAACCCAGAAAGATTTCCCCACCCCTCTGCTTCTACGTGACAATACCATTCATTTTTATGAATTACCATTGTCTATGGTTGCTTCACACAAAATAAAGTTAAAATCCGTCAACCATTCTGGACTATCAACCCATTCTGAATTAGCAGTCTTTTAAATATAAAAGTCCTCTTTTTTTTATACACGTAAACTGGTAAATTATGCAACAGCCATTCCTAAAGTTAATTAGAAAATGGTGTTTGATGATTATTTTTTCAGCAGTTGAAAAGATAGGAATATTTTCAAATTGGATTAGTTAGGGGAGTCTTGAATTTCCTTTGAGGACTTTTCAGCTAAATGGAATTTTTTGAATTTTGGAGATTTATATTTCATTCAAACCCACCTTTGGAGCATAATTAATGGACCTATTTACCAAGTTGGGCTCCACCTCATAACACCCGTGGTTAGAACATTTGAACAAATCTGACCTGTGTAATTTATCAAAAACTTTGTATTACTTCAAGGAATGTACTAGAAAATATGACACTCAGCCTTCAGGTTCATTGGAAGAAGCTGTTTGCATGTTTTAGCAAATTTGACCCCTGTGATCTTTATCATGAGTGAAAGAAAAAGTTATTTCTTTAGGTTCTCTAGAAGAAGTTGTCGGAGCAACTTAACAAATTTGACCTCTACGACGTTAAATATGGGCCATAAAACATTTTATATCACAAACTCTTCTAAAGTATGTCAGCATGCTACTTGCCAAACAACATGACTCTTGGCCTTTATGTTTTTAGCAGATGTTTGAGCATTTAGACATCAAAATATTGCATAATTTACTGTAAAAATGCCCCATTGTGTCCTAGTATGTCAATCAAAGACACCATCTTATAGACACTATAAGTTGCCTACCAAAAATAAAAGTAAATTGCATGGCAGTATAATAGAAATATTGACGGACTTTGATCTCAGATGTGCTCTTTGATTATCTTCATATTTTTCCATTTTCAAATTTTCATTTGGTAGATTTCATACCAATCCAATAAATATGCTTTCTTGACACTTCCTGCATTTTCTCACTAACTTATATGACTAAGGTATTTAACTGGCAAGTGCTTCTAAATAATGAATATTATCAGCGTATCTACTGTAACTATGAAAAATTGGTCAGTTCCCTAAGCTTTTTGCAGCGAATAAAAACAAAATTAAATCATGATAATGTTGCATTGATTGTCAGAACTATAGATATCATTGTTAACTGTATCTCAATGAATATATTAACAACCTTTTTCACATGTAATGTTGACTTTGTGATGATCACAGGTGTTTTGTTTACCTGTGTACCTGTGCTAAGAGGAGGCTACTCCATCAAACTAAGTTGTAAGGAAGCCTAATCACAGTACTTTAATCGGCTGATTCATATAGATATAAAATGGAATAATTTCATAACATCTAAGCAAAGCTTAATTCAAATATGTACTGAGTAATGTTTTTTTATTCACTAAACTGCGACATTATACCGCTTAAGGTGTGAACGTAAAACCTTACAATACACAGCTAGTTTTATTAAAGAGACATTTTTCTTTTCTTTTCGAACAAGCTTCATTTTGCAATAGTTATTTTTCACAGTTAACAACTTGTTTTCAATTGCTTTCACAATACTTTAGTGATTGAGAAAATAATTATATAGATTAGCCTTCCTAAATACTTAAGACTGATAGGGAAGCTTCCCCTTATCACTGATAGGGGAGCCAACAAAACAACCAGAATCCTCACGCTCGCCCACGATCATAACAAAACTGAATTAGATCTGAAAAAGGTAGTCTTATTCATTAAGTCTAAAGTAATCTTTGACATTAATATAATTGCAAATAGTTATGCAAGTTTTGTTCTGTGGTACTGACATTAACATGAAATTAATTGAAAATTTATCCATGTAAAGATTAATTGGTAGTTTTCACATTTGACTGCTGCATATAATTTTGTACCTCCTTGAAATTAATATATAAACATATATAAGTGACAATTTCTAATTCTTTCAGGATTCTTATGATTTTATTTAGAATGATATACATGTATCTAGAATGATATGCATGTATTTAGAATATAACTTCAGAAATTGTTTTTGAATATTTATTTTTCTAATAATAAACAACTCGATATTGAAATACTTTATTTGTTTATATATGCCTTGACTTGTTTTTGGTCCAGGACCAGAGCACAAGATTTACAGGGTTTCATCACAAATCAAGAGGGTTACACATAAATCAAGAGAGTTGAGACTTGTCTAATTAGCTTAATGTGACTGATCATTTTGATGTCTGGTGGAGTGGTGCAAATCAAATAGCTTACTCTGTTAAAGCCTTGGTACTCATTACCATGCAAATATTTTAAATAAAAAGTCAACACTTTCAGATATATGACAACTGGAAAAGATCATTTAACAGGGGAACCTCTTAAGGGGATTCTGAAAAATGACCTTGGTCAATTTTAATTAAAAGCTTTCTGAACTGCATTGTCAGCTTTAATCAAACAATTTAAATGGGGGGAAAATGCTATGTTTAACAGTTAGCACTATAATAACTTGCCAATAATAATGTTCCTCAAAACTGTAAAAAAAAATCAATTTAAGGACAGGATCCAATTTCCAAAATTCCTAACGAAACCCTTGGTTACTTGATGAGATCAGATAGCCAAAATGGAACCCTTGGATTTTGAAGGATTTTGCAAGTTATCCACGTAATCACAGAAATCAATGTCAAAGTGAATTTATCAAAACCTAGTCAAAATAATAATGCTACATATCTATCTCTATAACGCAATTATAAGTCAATTATGTGCATCTGCAGACAACAAATTAAACTGCTCGGTCATGGAACAGCGATCAATGACCTTACGGCTTGTTCTGCAAGTTTCATTTGTTTACAGTATTTTCGATGGTGTGTTAGATCTAAATTAAAGCAATGCAATATTGGTCACTGGTTATATATGACGCAGATGAGATATCGGTAACGAAACATTTCAAAAAATTAACCTGACATCCGAAGGTTCTCGACGAAGCCGCAATCGATAAAAGTCCCTTCGACTTTGACAATCGAAAGCTGATGGAGGCCGCCATGTTTGTTCGTCATGCAAGGGGCATATCCCGCCAGTACGATATTGTATTTGCTCCTATATTCTATGTTTATTATTAGTTTTGGACTAAATTTTCAAGTATAGTTTATATTTTTGTGAAATTTGTATAAATATTAAGAAAAATAATCAATAACAATGTATTCTCGTTAAAAATTACAGGTACGAGATTATCTCATTACCATAATATCGCTGCATCTTTCTGTCATATGTATTTATGGCTCTACAGGACTTATATTTACAAATTGTTCTGCAGATGATACCCTTCAGTCCAGACATTACAGGTCGCAGAGTGGTCTTCGTATGAATACAAGGTATGACATGTAATAAATGTGTTTTGCTAATGTGAAAGTGGAATCACCGGAAAATGTCGGCCATATTGACAAAGGTTAAAATTTCCTGCAAGACGCAATGACTATTTTTGCCGAGATCGTGTGATTCAGGTGTTTTGCTTTAGCATTACTGCATAAACGACATATTATGCTTTTATTGCAACATATCCATTCATTTAACAGACAATGCACATGTCTCGTAATGTCACCGATTGCGTAAATCATTTGCCGTCTGAGCGGAGCTTATATATTGACGGAATGTTTATTGTCAGTCACCGATTGCATGACGAATGCATTTTGACAAGTTTCGTGCTACTTTCGTTTCAATTCATACTTCATATTATGACAAAGTAAATCACCAAAGTATCAACACTTGTTTCAAAGGAAACTTGTATGAATTTTCGAAATATTCGGTGAAAAGGTTGAAAGTGTGACGTTTGACGGGCTTGTCGATTTTCGCCGGTTTGACGTCCTCAACATTTTATTTCCTCAAACATTGTTTAATAACGGATCAGCCTTGGATTTCAATCACTTTGATTTTTTACATAATCATCATTATCTATTACATACTTGTAATATTAGGTGTTTGATAAAACTTCCAGTCATCATCATCATTCAGAATTCAACATACAGCCTCACGAGGTGGTTCTCCTACAAGAGGAGTGATTTACTACTACTACATAATTATAAGCCCAATTATAATATATCAGACCAGACCAGAGTTTGAACCTGGTACCACCCAATGCTTGAAACAAGGTTTGGTCACTAGGCCTAGGCACCACTGTAACAGGAGCGAAATGCTCAGCCAGACAGGGGTCCGAACCCGGGACCTTCCAAACTTAGACAGACGTTTGACCAATTAAGCTTCCTGGTTGACCAAGTCCAGTTCTGCTACAATATGTGTGTTTGCTTTAACTTGACGAGGATTTTAAGTTTTGGAATTCTAGTCGTTTCGGTACCCTGTACTTTAGATTAGCTAGTATGTTTCAGTCCTTTTTTGTAAACACAACAAATGCTGAAGAATCCTGATATATAAATCAGCCATAATTTACAAAATGTAAACAAACTACAAAGCTTTGTTATTGATAAAGGACATCTTGATTGGTACACATAGTTCAACACTCTGGTTAATATATATAGAGAGAGACCACAGGAGGTCAAAGTTCTATTAATTTAATTAATAAATTAATTAATGTGAAGGAATGAACAGCGTAATCTTTTTCTTCTCGTAAAATAACTCATTTGTATTTTCCATCCAGTTGATAAATACCATCTCATGACCAAAATTTCATGGCAAACATACAACAGAAGTATCCCAGCTATTCAGTTGAACATTTATATGCGAATGCTAAATATTAGCAGTCATAACTTTTTTCACATTGAATACACCATGGCCTGAAGTCCACAATTGTATAATATAATTTTATCTATTAACTTTGTCTACACTCTATTAATAGAAATGTCTACGCTATGTTAAGGTCTTGGCACCTCATACTGAAGTTCAGTTACAGAACCATGCAATGCATATTTATCAACTCACAAAACATTTTGTAAGACAGCAATTAGTTTCAATGGCCAGGGCAAATAGACTGTTAAATGCACTAGTTCTTACATCTTGAAACATTATGAAAATAAATATTTTAGGACATAATAATTTTAATTTGGCAGTGGTTTGTAGCTTACTTTGTGAGAAAAAAGGGAATTACATGATCATGACCACACCTAGTAATAAAGAGTGTATAGGGACACTAATTGAGGAAATAAAAAGAAATGGCTTTTGCTGTCAATTTGTTTTACTAATTAAGATGTTGAGCATAGAGTCAAATAACAATAACATCATAGATTTAAAGATAATTTCAAAGAATGCCTGCCAAATTATATGCTTATGCTGAAATAAACATGAAATGGTTGTCAAAGGTAAATACATTTGTATAGGTTAATTCTATAACAACTGACCATAATTTATTCACGTAATAAATATAAAGGCGAAAACCCTATCGTTAATCTGGAATCCTAAGTAGGAAACAGTTTCACGATACCGGTAATTATACAATTTTTATTGGCATATTTAAGGAAATGGTGTATATTTACAACTTTAAGCAATACAGAAGTAATTAATTGGAGTATGTGAAAATGTATCACAAAAAGTGTAAATTTCAGAAATTTATCTTTTCAATGCACTTTCAAACTCAATCATAAGTCATTTGTATACTGGGTCATATGCATACAGATTTCAGATATTCATTGATAATGCAATTTCAACCAATTCCTTTTACTAGTTCATGTCAGGTTGTTACGTCACTGGCTCGCCTGTTAGATCGTGTACATGCATTACCAGGTGAATTATAGAGTAAAATAACTAACAGATAGATACATACAATATTCCTACAGGTATCGCTATATTTATAACAATTCTTGGATATATGCAGTGATTATTTTTGCCCTGCTGCTTTAGAGGCATTTTGGACATTATATGCCAAAAACCAAATATGGGGCCTTTATTTTTGTGTGTACTAATTGTAGTGGGGCAATTTATCAGACAAAAGATATGTTTTAGTTAAAATTATATTACATGTACACTGATAAATTTTACACTGCATACAAATTCTAGCTGTTCCACTGTTAGACCTATTCATTTGTGTTGGTGTTTGATGCTTTATATATATATTTACACCATGTCATTATTGTCTCACCGCCACGATGTAGCGGTAGGAAGACTTGTACTTAAGTGTTGCTTTTCTGGCGATGGCGGCGTCAACATTAAGTCTTGGGTTTAAGTTAGTTTCACTGCCATATTAAACCTTATAAATGCCCAATCCCTTGATTATTGGATTTTTGCTTGCACAAGAAAGAAAAAATGTGTATTATCAGGGCTCACATTAAGGAACAATTCTGTGTCGCCAATTGGTTTTGCCATGAAAATTTTGTGTCGTCAAACTGAGATTTTATTTCGCCAATTTTTGTTGCACTTATGACTTTTAGTATTTGTTTCAGATAAATGATTTATCAAGAACTTATCCACTATATGTTCATTCTAATTGTTCCTTTTGTTTCATGTGTATTATTAGCAGAATTCTAGTTCAAGAGAAAAACAGAAAAGAAAACAGTGTTTTCCATAGATTATTATTTATTCTTTCTCTAATAATTTATTTTTTATTCAATTTTTAATATCTATTCATCAATGCTAATAAGATCTTCAGACAAACAATACTACATTTAATTTTCAATTCACTTTTTTATCCCTTCATTATATATATTCGTAATAATAGCGCTACAGAGCTAATGTTCCCATTACAACATATACGACTCTAAATAAAAATTCTTGTATCTTGAATAAAGGTATACATCTTCTGGAAATAAATACTACTGACAATACTGTCTTATTATTTTGCTGAGCACCAAAGTCACTCAATGTCAAATAGTTTAACTCGAAGCTCGTAATATTGTTATCATCATCTCATCAGGATTAATATATACCTTAACACGCCTGTCAATTGCCCATTTTGGGTTAAATATCTTTCATTTTTAGCTCACCTGCCCGAAGGGGGCAAGTGAGATTATGTCTTGGTGAGGCTTCCGGTGTCCATCGGCGTCCCTCAACTTTTCCTTTAAACAACTTCTTCTGAAGAACAAACTGGCATAGAGCCATGATATTTGACTGAAAGCATTGTTGGTAGGAGCTGTACAAAGTTTGAGAACGAAAATGACCTTGACCTACTTTCAAGGTCACAGGTGTCAAATGTGTCGCACGCTTCAAACGACTACTGAAGAAGAACTGAAAGGTATAGAATCTTCAAATCTAGCTGGTGGCTTTCTGGGATTAGAGCCCAACAATGTTTGTGAATGAAAATGACCTTGACCTACTTTCAAGGTCACAGGGGTAAATTATGTCAAACTCTTCAAACAACTTCTTCTGAAGAACTAAAAGGTATAAAATCTTCATATTTGGCCGTTGGCTTCTTGAGATAGAGCCCAACAAAGTTTGAGAATGAAAAGGACCTTCACCTACTTTCAAGGTCACAGGGCAGTGGGTTTTTTTTGGCCTGATGTACAGCCGTCTAACGGGTGCTTCCCCTAGTCTAAAAATAACGTATTTTCCCAAAATAAAAACATATTTTCCCAAATAGAATACCTGTTAATTTAGTCCATGTTTGGTTATTGTTGTAATCTAGGATTTTATCAAAACATGTCTAAACAAAGTCGTTCTCCCGAACGATACTAACTTCAGCGATCGGAAATCATCGGTTTCTGAGCAAGGGGGGAGAAGTGAAATCCGAATATTCGAATCTAGGTCATGATAGTGTTTGATACGGTCATCGGAATTTCAAGCGTCAAATTGACAACTGGTTTGATTCACGGGTGACATCCGGTTCTACACCATGTCGCATAATTCAAAATACTTCACTAAAAACATCAGAAAAATTGATTCTTAAGGACTGATTAAAATAAACGATGCATTCAAGGAAGCTACAAAGTCTTGTGGACACAGAGACGATCCCGTCATTTGCTTAGTTGACTCGTGTGTGCCTGATCTGGGCTTTAATCTATTAGAAGTGGAAAAAAACTTTACCATCTTTCAGAATCGGAATTTGCTTTTCGTATAGTGTTGTGAGACACACATCTGCGTGACACTGTTGTATGACAAATACATCACCTGTGACACATCCAATTAGTCTTTCATGTCCCAAAGGTCAACTAGGAAATGCTCCATTTTTTCTGTTGTCTCGCAAATTGCGAAGTCAACACACATAAATATTGCCTTTACTGCCTCCCTGTTCCTGTTAAGTTCTATATATCCCCAAGTTCAGTAACCCCTCTGTCATAGAACGGAGAAGTGGACAAAGAAGAGATTGATTTGGTGGTACATGTACCTTGTTAAACTTAATTAAAATTTTGATTTCAAAAATTCTAACCTTGTCAATGATTTCATCTTACATTTTGTAAAGAATCTGTTCAAAAAATTAAATAGAAACAAAATGAATAAAAAAATCTGTCATTTTTTAAGAGCAATTAATTCTTTACAAAAACTATCAGAATGCACCTCGGAGCTTCAAGAATTCAAAATTTTTCATGGGGGTACCCCCCAATATGGCTTCGCACAAGACATTTCCCAATTGCAAATTAAAGGAACAGGTGGTTGTATGGAAGTAAAAAAAAAAAAAGGGGTAATATGTCAAAAACATCAAACGACTTCTTCTGAATAATCAAAAGGCATAAAATAATAATATTTGGCTGGTGGCTTCTTGGGATAAAGCTAACAAAGTTTGAGAAGGAAAATGACATTGACCTACTTTCAAAGTCACAGGGAAAAATATGTCGAAGAACTTCTGAAGAAGAACCAAAAAGCATAGAATCTTATAATAATATTTGGCTTGTAGTTTCAACAGATGGAGCCGACAAAAATTGTGAGGGAAATATTTGTAGTGCAATATAATATTTAATGAGAATATTTAGCTATGACTGCTTAAATATTCAGGTGAGCAATACAGGCTCTCTGGGCCTCTTGTTTGGGGGAGATGGTTTGAGAAAAACATAACTGGGTGTCAATATCTAATTCGTCTGCACAAATCCTGCATAATTTGATGGTTCCAGTAATATAAAGTTTTATTTTATTTTTTTATTACCACATCGCTAAACCAGGTGTGCATGTTTTCCCCCAGCTCACTTTTATGTTGATCTTGCGTCCAACATTACGTGATCGATAAACTTATGAATATTTATTAAATGAAGCATCATAAAAAGAGCTTATTCTGCTTAAATTTGTGCCCCTTCGAGTAGATTTGTAGAGGATGTATTGAATGAATGTCCACGCTTCTAGTATAAACATATTTTTTATAATCCCCTTTTGGTCAAATCAGTCTGTAGTTGTAACAGTGCAGTAGGGCTCCACGCCACGTGTTGATGAGCACGTGTTGATGAGTGAAAACAACACGGTCCCTCGATCGCGACTGCCAATAATTTCAAAGAAATTACAGTATCTAGAGCTATTGTTTATCAGTTATCACAGATAGAGTGTTAGCTAATTACTGCATTGAAATTTGTATGAACTGTGGTGTTGAGAAGTGTGAAGTATTTTCAATGAAGCATATCGACCCTACCTGACCTATTGTCTGGGACCTAATGGTGTCGTTGGTTATGCCCTCAGGTCAACTTACCTGTAACAATGTTACCTGTACCAAGCTAGAGTTTGTCGCCAAATCATCAGTCATGACTACAGATTACCGATTTATAATTATTTTGGAGTAGGTAAAAATGTGTCGCCAAACTGAATTTTTTGTCGCCAAATCTGAAAAAGTGTCGCCATTTGGCTACTTGGCAGTCGTTTATGCTAGCCCTGATTCTAACTATTTACAGACTTTTGACTTTTGAAAAGTTTTGCAATTATCCTTATTTTTCTGAATTGTTGAGTGGTGGTGGGTTCTTAAATTGTTAATTGGGGGTGCACATGGGGATGCTTAATATCATGTCATAACTTGAGTTTGCTATGGAAAAATTGTCCTTTTAAAGTCAGTAGATTCAAGAAGAAAGGTCATTTAAATGAATAACATTTTCCTACTTTCGTTTTTTTGCAGTCTACGACATTGTAGACAATGACCATTGTTATGAGAGGGAGTCCAGCTGGGGGAGACTCCCCCCAAGATAATACACAACAGCAACAACAGCCACAGGGGGGAGGCCAACCACCACATGCTGGGCAGGCTGGGCAGGCTGGGCAGGCAGGAACTGCAGCCCAGCCACCCCAGCAGCCACCGCAACCCTCCGGGTCAGCCCAGCAGCCTCAACAACCCAGCCCAGGACAGTCATCCACCAGCACTGATGTTGATGGTAGTCAAGATGACACCACCATGGTCGCTGTTGACCTTGTTGAAGGTCAGGTACCAGATTTTCCTCTTCAGGAGCTGTCAAGACTCGATGAAATGATAAATCGTCCTAGATGGGTTGTCCCAGTTCTGCCAAAAGGAGAACTGGAAGTACTTCTAGATGCTGCTATAAAACTCTGCAAAGAGAGTAAGTCACTCCTACAGTTCTCACCATTGTGTATTCTTCAGCTGTATTGTCCTGTTATAAAACATCCTACAAAATCTGAACGTTTATTATCAAGCTCTAAATATTATTTATTTGAACATCCAGACATCTTCTTTATCATTTTAATAATATATTTGCCTACCTTCTTTCGTTTTTTCCACTTTGCCCTTTTCATTAATGAAAATAATGAAACATTTTCACAAAAGTAGAAAAATTTAATGTTTTTGCAGGTTGCAACAATAAAAATTGTATCATTTTATTTCCATGTTATTGTAGAATTAGACACCAGGAGTGAACATTGCCAGAGGTTTTTCAGAGAAGGCCTCAATACTTCTTTCACCAAAATAATGACTGACGAGGCAGTGAGTGGATGGAAATATGAAATTCATGTGAGTACACTTTGATCAGTCGAGAAGTTAAGAACATTTAAGTCTAGCTTTAATCAGCAGAAAGTCTGTTTAAAATTAAAGACTTGAGATATCATTAAATTTATAATGGACCAAAATGCATTTTAAATTAAGATTACATATGTAAGCTACATAGGAAAGGATTACAAGGAATTTTCATCACATCACTAAGTCAGCAGGAACCCTGAATCCATTAAGATTTAGTATGGATATATAGTAAAAACTTTAATGTTTTCTTTTTAAAAAACTTCTTCTATGTTTTCACATTCTGCATACCAATTTGTATATTGTTACTTGGTTACAGAGATGTATTTTGAAGAATGCAGAAAAGATGATTGAATTATCTGTGTCAAAACTAACCGATGATTGGTTCCCTCTCCTGGAATTATTGGCTATGGTTTTGAACCCTGTTTGCAAGTGAGTATGAAATAAATGGAATAAAAGATATGTTTTGTGCTAAATTGTAAATAAAGTCTGATTTTCATGTCAATTTGTGTCCACTTTATAATATTATCCTACAGACCATTTTGTGTCCACTATATACTATTATCCTACAGACCATTTTGTGTCCACTATATATTATTATCCTACAGACCATTATGTGTCCACTATATATTATTATCCTACAGACCATTTTGTGTCCACTATATATTATTATCCTACAGACCATTTTAAAAGTGTACAATTTGTTGTAGGTTCCATACCTACAATGGCACAAGGCCATCAGATAGTGTTCCTGCTAACACAACTGTAGCAGATGATGTTTTATATGCCCGACCACCTGACCCACGTACACCCAGGGTAAGAAAAATACAAGGTTGATCAATATCAAGATTTTAATATCCTAAATAAGTTGGAATAAGTTATGCTTGAATTATTCATTAAAAAAATGCTCTAAATATATTAATTCCTTGTGCATCCTGTGATCACTCCTTAACTAACATCATTCTTAAAGGTTCTGTCTTGATGTAATAAGAATAAAGAGTTGCATTACAAATCTTTTAACACCTGGGCCCATATTCATGAAACCATTCTAATACTCAACTACAGATTTTGTGCTCAAGTCTAATTTATTGGTCCGGTCAACGTTAACAATTGACTTTTAGATTGTTTGACATGATTTAAGCAAGTTACAAAGCTGGTTTGAGCACATAATCCATGCTTGAGCATGAGAACAGTTTCATGAATGCTGGCCCTAATCTACAAGACTTGGAGCTATTATTATGAATGGCCAGTTTATTATAGAATGATCTGGAATGAGGTCAAACAATGCATTTGAACGAACATTTTACTTCAACTTAAGAGTTTTATTTAAAGGAAAAAAATCTTTCTAACAGCATGATGATATTACCTTTACCTCTGTTTGTAGGGCTGGTTGGTAGACCTTGTAAACAAGTTTGGAACAATGGAAGGATTCTCGATTCTGCTGGAGCGCTTTACTGGGGGACCACAGCTGTCAGTACCTGTTATCGCTGCCCTCATCAAGTAAGTTCATTGTACAGCAGACAAATACTGACTAATAGAATATTTAATTTCTTTATATTTACATTCGCTCCCATTGAAGCTGTGTAAACCGTGACTGCGTATACATTACCGTATACGCAGTGAAATTCCTTGGAGACCATTGTTTCCTATTGATGACGTAATTTACATTGTGACGTCATAATGGTAACGTTGGAGATCCATCGTTGCTCGCAGGCTGTAGGCTGTTCATTTGTTTGGATTAACGCACGTTACGGAGGCTTTGTACCATTATAAAAGCAAATGTATTGGAGTTAGCTTTATTCTGAGTGTACCATCATAGTACAAAAATATGTAAATATAAGAATTGACCTTCATTTTGACTGCGTATACGGTAGTATGAACGCAGTCAAAATAAAGGTCAATCCTTAAATAATGTAAACAAAAATCTCAATAGGAGGGGCAGCAGCATGATACTTTGTCAATAGGTGGATTCTTACCATAAAAAAATACTCCCAAGATGTAAAGATGAAATTGATGTACATCATCAGTGCTCTCGCTGCATAAATCGATTTACATCATCTGTGCTCTCGCTGCATAAATTAATGTACATCATCTGTGCTCTCGCTGCATAAATTGATGACGCTTGATGATATAGTGCTATGGTGAAGTGGTGGCATTTCATGATAAAGGTGTGGGTAATCTTTCACTAAGTAAATCGTTTACATGGGTATGGTATAGCATTGTCTAGTATCTATATTTTACAGCACATAATGTATACACAATACTGATGAGGTTGATTAAACTGTCTCCAAACTGGTTTCTTCAGAGTTCACTTTTGTTGCATTAATCTCTTAAAATATGCTATACCAAACTTTTACCAGAAATTGAAAAGATTGTCCAATCAGAATAAACAGGGTTCTTTGCGAACAAAAGTTTTTTAGAAAACATTACCTGGTATATGTTTAATAGTGATTGCATTTATAGCTCAATTTCTTAATCAAGTATTTACCTTATTTTCCCACAGGCCATTTGGACAGTGTGCCGAAGTGCTAACCCCACACTGTGTGGAGAAATACTTTATGCCTATAGTTGTAAGTATCTGATGTAAAAACACTTGAGTTCTGAAAAGTCTCTTTGTTAAATATAATTGATATTCATCAAAATAGAAAAAGATCAATTGAAATAAAGATATGATAAACTGAAGTGGTGAAATATTGCTTCATCTTTCAGTAGTTTTCAGTATACAAATTAATGATAAATTGCTGCATCAAGATGTCATCTCTTCATTTAACAGGCTGTTGTGCCAAAGTTCCTGGACTCATTGACTGACGAGGAGTTGAAAAAGGAGTCTAAAACAGAAGCAAAGAATGATGCTCTGTCATCTATAATCAAAGCCCTTAAACAACTTGTGTACAGACTACCAAACCAGGATGAGAAAATCAAAGCTTTAGAGACCTTCAGGCTCAAAATGATACTACGGTGAGTGGAAATGAGATGATATTCTAGATGAAGCTAAAAGACTATAATACAGGCTGGTATTTTGCAGTTAATGGGTCTGTTACGCTCTAAAATTATGGTCGGATGGTGCAGTGGATAGTGCACCTGCCTTTCACCAAGGCAGCCAGGGTTTGATTCCCCGATCCGACGTGAAAAGGTATGGGGTCACCTGCCCAACCAAGTGGGTTATCTCCGGGTGCTCCAATTTCCTTCCACACTTAGACAAGCTGAATTAACTTGTTTCATAATTGTTGTAAACTAAATTAAGTTTATATTTTAAAATTATAGTCTTTTTCTTCTCCTTCATTATGATTTCTAAAGAAGTTTTTACAACAATTCAAGAAAATGAAAATGAAGTTATCTGTTTAAATCAAAAGCTATTATATTTAAAAATTTCAGATTATAAAAGATCTCATCGTTTAATTACAGATAATTAAATATCTTGTCTCTGATTACAGGTTACTGAAGATCTCATCTTTTAATGGTAAAATGAATGCCTTGAATGAAGTGAATAAGGTGATAGCCAACGTGTCATTCCAATCAAGTCGACATTCACAAGTGGATGAAGATGAATGGCTAACAGCGGAGAAAATGGCGGTAAGTTTTTTAACCTCACCTGCTTGAAGGTCAAGTGAGCTTCTGGCGTTCGGTGTCGTCGGTCAACTTTTCCTTTAAACTATTTCTTCTGAAGAACGGACAGGCCTAGAGTCATAATATTTGGCTGAAAGCTTCGTTAATGGGAGCCAGACAATGTTTTAGAATGAAAATGATCTTGACCTACTCTCAAGGTCACAGCAGTCAAATAAAAAACGCTTTAAACAATTTCTTCTGAAGAACTAAAGGTATAGAATCTTCATATTTGGCTGGTGGCTTCCTGAGATGGAGCCTGACAATGTTTGAGAATGAAAATGAACTTGATCTACTTTCAAGGTCTACAGGAGGATCAAATGTGTCAAACACTTCAAACGACTTCTAAAGAAATGAAAGGTATAGAAACTTCATACTTGGCTGCTGGCTTCCTGGGATAGAGCCTGACAAAGTTTGAGAAGGAAAATGACATTGACCTACTTACAAAGTCACAGGGAAAAATATGTCAAACAACTTCTGAAGAAGAACCAAAAAGCATAGAATCATACAATAATATTTGGCTGGTAGTTTCAACAGATGGAGCCGACAAAGGGAAATATTTTTAGTACATGATAATATTTAATGAGAATATTTTGTTATGAATGCTTAAATATTCAGGTGAGCGATACAGGCCCTCTGGGCCTCTTGTTTCATAGGCTTGATAACGCATACTGTTTACTTTCTCTGGAGTCAACCCTTTTTAGCAATCGCTAGCTAAAAAGACCTAGCCAATTCTTGAAAAATAACGCATGAAAATTAACACAAACAATTTTCTGAAAATTGGATTCGTAAATTTGAATTTCAAAATAATTAACGATAGCTGTTTGTGAAGATGATGTGTGTGAATATCACAAGATTTGTCTGTTGTCATTTATTAGTGTATGTGTATATTGTGTTGTAGGAGTGGATACAGAACAACCATGTGTTGACAATCGTGCTGGGAGACAGTCTACATCAGCCCCAGTATGTGGAGAAGCTGGAGAAGATCCTACGCTTCATGATCAAGGAAAAGGCTCTGACAGGCAGTGACCTAGACACACTTTGGGAGGCTCAGGTAAAAAATACAAACAATTTACAGCAAGCATTTGTATTAATTCTGTAACACTGTAAACATACTGTCTCTGGTCTGAATCCAAATTTTGTATCATACTAGCTAAGTTATGAAGTAAATCATCAATATATTTCATGACACAAATTAGATGCACTTGAAATGAAAATTGAAGAACCAAACTCAGTAGTATTTGTTGCAAAACACAGTAAAATGTAAAAAATATACAGTGAGAATTCGCCGAGGTAATGATGTGATGTTCCATACGTGCTATCATTTTGTTTTTATTTTTAATTTAAAAATGTTAAGTTCCATGGATGTAATCCCTGATTTATTGTCTCACAGGCCTAAAAATTGGCTCATGTGGTGACAATTGTTCCGTGTTCCTAAAATATGGAAATTCCTCTCAGCAAATTTAATGGTATGTGTTTGGAAAGATATTTAGAGAAAAGTTCAGTGTTATACATAACATTTGTCATATTGGTCATTAAAGACACTTTCGCAAGTTTTACTGTGTCAAACATTGTGTGCTGTTGTGGCTTTCGTGTGTTACATTGTCTCTGCAAAAGTATTATTCTATTTCAGTCTGGCAAACATGATGCGATTGTCAAAAATGTACATGACTTGCTAGCAAAGTTGGCGTGGGATTTTTCACCTGAACAGCTAGATCACCTGTTTGAAGCTTTCCAGGTAAATTAAATATTTTGCGAGCTTAGCATTAGAACTTTGCCTTTTGCTTATCTTTTTCTCTGCTCCTCCTAAGGGAGCTACCTTTCACTATTAAGATGGTTAAACATTAAAATTGATAAACAAAAAGATTATACAATGATGTTGGTGAAACGGGCGTAAGAATATTTTACTTTGTCAAACAATTGAGAAGAATTTCTTTAACGTAGATAAACATTGAAACCATAAAGTAAGCATCAAACTTGTTTTGCTATGAACCAGGTCGACAACCCGACAACCCCATATCAAGATGATATCATTCTTCATCATTACTTCCCCGGCTGAAAAGTCAAGAAACGTTTTTTTAGTGCAGTAATAGGAATGAAGTTAGGATAATACAGTAAAGCCAATGATTTACTGAGAGAACAGCTTAAACAACATGTCTTCGTATTTAATAGGGGAGTTGGGCTCAAGCCTCAAAGAAGCAAAGAGAGAAACTCCTGGAACTGATTCGTAGACTCGCAGAGGATGACAAAGAAGGTGTGATGGCACACAAGGTGCTGGGGCTGCTGTGGAACCTGGCACACAGCGAAGATGTACCTACTGAGATCATGGACCAGGCCCTGAACGCTCACATCAAGATCCTTGATTACAGCTGTTCTCAGGTAACTATTCTTAACTGTACTAATAGGTCAATTTTACCCACAGTCAGAATTTCCACTGAATGCCATTTCGTAATTATTAAAACATTTGTTCTCAGTCACAACAAAGTTGATGAAAATTATCAAACTCTTAGCATAATGCTATATTTATTGCAATTTCCATTGGTTGTTTTTTTGTAATTATTGAAATCCATTAATTTGTACTTGTGTCCGAGTTGATGAAAGTCTTGCGGCATTTTCCATCAAAAATATTTTTACGAGGGAAAAAAAGGACATATCTAAATCACTAGATAAGAGCGTAATGTTATTAGAATATGGTGTTCCAAAAAAATTTCAAGCTTTCAAGTGCTGTTCTATTTGCACTGGTTTTGTTACCACTTTAATAGAAAAACTAAAGGTTACTGGTATATGGCTATGTAATTATGACATACTCAGGCTTCTGGACACAGACTAAATCTGATCGAAATGCAGAATAATAAATGTAGCATGGCATGTATAGAGGATCTGTCATAACTTTCCCTTCATATTAGATTTATGATACAAGTTTTGGATTTTGAGGCTCGAAAATATGAAAAATCCAAAACAAGTATCATAAATCTAATATGAAGGGAAAAGAATAACAGATTCTTTTTATCGTATAATACAAAGTAAACTGTATAACTGTGATCTGAAACGAACATTTTGCGCTTGGCCGCCTCTAAAACAATGAAAATTGTGTCCGTTTTACAATGATGTGACGTCACATTGATTGTTTCTATTCGATTATGACGTCATTTCCAGAGTGATATTACACACATTGCATAAACATAATTTATGTGATGGCTTTATGACAATGCATAATACAGTATTCATATGATAAAATCATCTATGTTCACATGAGATCTGACCGAGTTTGATATATTTCTGTGACTACAGGACAGAGACACACAGAAGATGACATGGATAACAAAATTTGTGGAGGAACTTAAGAATGACAAGTGGGTACTTCCATCTCTGAAGCAGATCAGGGAAATATGTCAGCTGTTCCCAGAGGTAAGAACAAATTATATGCACACAAAATCTAATAATTACACGTTAGATGTTTATACTTATTTATCCACCCATGAAATTCAAGTGCTAAACATTACACATGTTGTGAATGTGTAGAAGTGAAGAAATACTTAATTGAAAAATTTGTTTAGCATAACTGAGAGTTTTTAACTTATATTGATACAACCCTATTGTGCATCATGCAGTGTATCGGGTATGAATATCATTTTAAAGTGTAAAATGTGGAATCTCAATAATTTGGACACTTTGGTTTCTGATATAAGGCTTAAATAATCAAAGAATTCTAAGTATGAGTTTCTATAAATTTTAGAATAAGCTAAATTATAATTGTTCATCAAGATATCTGCAATTACATATATCAAGAGTAACAAATTTTCCTGGAAAATAAAACGAAAAAAAAAAGATTTTTTTTGGTCAGAACTGGTTCCTGATATAAGCATCTGAAGGCCAATTGTTAAAGTCTAAAATTAATGAGGTTCCACTATATATACAATTGAACCATCACAACAACTTATTTTATCTTGTTCAAGACTAATGGTTCTCCTACCCAGGCTCCACAGAACTTTCCCCACCCACCACAGCGGACTCCACATGTTTACTACAGGAACATGGTCATCAGTCAGCTCCAGAGTAACCATTCCATTGTCATGTTACTGGCACAGAATCTCTCCTCCTACATGACCAAGGCCAGGGCCTATGCAAAAGGTAGGCACTCTGATATGAAAGGACTCGTCATCTATTCTCTATTATATCTATATATCCAAGATGTTTATTAGTTCCAGAAGGTAAGTATTAAGTAATATTTTTAGCATACAGCAAATTTGAGCTACCATTAAATTATTACAAAGTTTTCTAATGACTAACTTGAAAGTTTTGTGTTATCTCCCTTGGTCCATACAATTTCTCTAAAACCACATCAATAACTGAAAATTCAGCTGCTAAATGGTTTGTTTATGGGTTTTTTTACAGAGTTCCCAGAATCTGACTCTGCTAATATCTTGCCAGATGGCCGATTTAACCATATACTACAGATACAGGAAAGGTTGAGATTTCTAAGGTAAGTTTTAGATCACCAAAGCTTGGGAAGTCGTTGATTTTATAAGAATGTAATATCAGAAGCAGATTTTGAAAAAATAGGATTTGCTGCCTGTTTGTTTAGAGCTGAATTTTGGCTCCATTCATAATGAGATTTAGACGTTTTCCAAATAAAGGAGGCAAAGGGAGTTAGACATTTCAATATGTCATATAGTTTCCTTTCTGAAGGATTGTGGCAATTCCAAACAAGACATATATATGATAAAATCTGTGAAATTGCATAGATTGGGGAAAAAAGGTGCTTCCACTTCACACAGCAAATATACTCTAAAAATAAGAAAACTGGCACCAACTCATTCCCTTATCTACACATAAACTATAATTTCACACCTCATATTAGATTTATATTAACAAGCACATAATGAAACATTTTAATTTTAGAGTTAAGAACACTTTGAAAAGAAAGAAATTAAAAATCTAAAATATGACCTGTTGAAAAAAGTGTGTAATTATGTATTTGAACAGGTTCCTATTGAAGGACGGTCAGCTGTGGCTGTGTGAATCCCAGGCAAGACAGATCTGGCAATGTCTAGCAGAGAACGCCATCTACACCACTGACAGGGAGTCCTGCTTCAAGTGGTTTGCAAAGGTAAACTGAATAATTAGCTGGAAGTAGTGATAATAGTTTTAGTGGATTAGATATTGTAGGCAAAGGATAGGGAAAGAAACTTTAAAAATCACAGATGATATAAAAAAAAAAACAATACTGGCGTTAGATTTTAAATACATTATCTTGATTTGTTTACTACAGCTGATGGGAGAGGAACCAGACTTAGACCCGGAGATCACTCGAGATTTCTTTGAACAAAATATTCTTCAGCTGGATCCCAGTCTGCTCACAGAAAATGGAATGAAGTAAGTCAATTATAAAGTTACATGGTGAAATGTTCTGATATTACCTTAACTCTGCAGACTTGATAAAGAGTTAAGAAACAGAGAAAATAAGACGTGAAATATAAATTACAGGTGAAGACAGACATTTGATCTCATTTGTTAGTTTTAAGTTGAAATTTAACTGACTTGTCATCCATTTTGAGTAGTTCTTTAAGAGTTTAACTATTAATTAGAAGGAAAGCATGAAATATTAAAGAAATGTACTGTCATGATTTATTAACTGTTTACAGCTGTTTCGAGAGATTCTTTAAGAATGTGAATGTAAAGGAGAGTAAACTAATCGCCAAGCGAAGGGGAGGACACATGATGGATGACATGGAATTGATTGGTCTAGACTACATGTGGAGAGTAAGTTCCATTACCTGCAGATTAATGAGGTTAATTACTTAAAAAAACAAAAACGAATTTCAGATTTTGTAGTGTAAAACAGTTTTTGATCCTTCCTCAGAAAAACTATGTTTTATTTATAATAAAGATTCTTCCAATTCATATTGTGAGATTCTGATCTTTGTTGTTGGACTTTAATTTGTAATTGTAATATTTGAAGTTTTAATGACAAGATTTTGGTTTCATTTTTTGTATCACCCATAACAGAAAAAAACACCTGAAAATAAGGATTTGATTAGGTACTAAAGTCGGTCACTTCAGACTTTCTGTATTCTATTTATATTTTCTCAACTTTCAGGTTGTGCTTTTGAGTCCAGATGAGGTGTCAAACAAAGCTATCACATTACTCAAAGACATTTTCACCAACTTGGGTCCACGTTTGTTACAAAACCAAGTAGAAATTCATGAGGACTTTATCCAGTCCTGTATTGATAGACTCAAGGCTATATACGATACTGTGAGTGTGCTAGAGAAGGACAAAGACAGTACAAACCGTGTGATGCAGGAGACAACGCGGATGGTGCGAGTTCTAACTGTGTTAAAGGAGTACGTCGGGGAATGTGATGAGGCTTATAATGAGGAGAGAACTATCCTTCCTCTTAGTCGGTAAGAGAGATTTTGTTAACACTAGAAATAAAGATACTGTATTTCGGTAGTGATCAGCAGACTTAAAAAGACTGTAAATTGTAAGCACTATGCTTATTTAATAGTATTTACAGGAAGTGCATTTTCATTTATTATGAAGTGTTTTGCATTTTTGTACAAAATAGTTAGAGAGAATATATTTTGCATTGCACAATGTTTCTGCACTTCCAGAGCTTGCCGAGGGAGATTGGTGTCTTTGATACTGAGATTTCCCAGTCAAGGTCGTCAGCCAGATGACCTTGACATCTGGTCACACACAAACGATACAGTAGGTGCAATACGAAGACAGGTGTTAACCAGGGTCAAGGCTGCCAGCAACATCAAAGTGGATTTATATGCAAATGGAGAAATCCTGGATCCAGCAGAGGACAAGCGCCTCATTTCACAAGTTCCTCTCCGCGACAAAACTGTAAGTTACTTATTGCTGTTAGTCGGGCTTCATTATTCTTTTACTTGTAAACAAAAAAGGGATAAATATCTAAATTATTCATCCTTTTCGTTATTAGATAATCTAATAATGTCTTCACGAGTAATATTTATGAAAAGGTGATATTTAGAACAATATAATATAATTATAATGGTTCTGTATTTTCTTTGCAATTGACCATATAACTTCATATATGATTTCTTGACAAATGTCATAGTTAAAAAATCCAGATTTTGGTGAAGGAGATTTTGTGGAGATTTTGAAGAAAGCTATAAGTGATCTGCATCTGTGTCATTTATTGGAATTAATTGTATCACTCCAGCACTACAATGTTTATAAAACTTGTGTTTTGTAGCTTATTTCTGCCAAGCTTGTCCAGGTTGGAAACAACATGCCCTCTAGTCCAGATAGTAGCTCGGATAGCTCTGCGGGCTCCCCCCACCACACGTTTGATGGGCCCAACGTAGAGGCGGAGAACTGTCTCCCGGGAGTGGTACGTCAAGTGTTTTGCTGTTACAAGTTTAAAAATTTAAAGATGACATAATTCAATTTTTAGTTTACTGTAACCATGAATAAATTGGTGATGGAAAAAAACAAAACTTTTTAGTATACTGTGACTGTGAATAAATTGATCATGAAAAAATTGCCTGAAAGACAAAAACATTTTATTATTAATATGCTGTGGCCATGAATAAATTGGCGATAAAAAATGCCTGACAAGTTTTAATCAGGTAAAAATATTACAAAGAAAGTAATTAAAATACGTTCAAAATTTCAGTATATTTTTTATTTTATTTTATTTTAACCAGAAGTTGTCACCAAAAGGAAATTATTTATATATTTTATAACAATACTTGTACTGCAACACAATTTCCTTGATCTAATGTTTACATTTTTGTACATTTCAGTTGATATCCAACAGTTTCAAGTACACCCAGTTCCTGTTCCAGTTATCTGACCTTGGTTGTCAGTTACAGGTTCCCAAACTTCGAGACACTGCCAGAATACTTCTCAAAATAATGCCTGCCGGTACACAGATTTTCTCATTCAGAACAATTACAAGCTTCCATCTTTATTTGCTTCTGGTTTTGATTTTCAAGTGATTGTAAGATATAACCAACTGTAAAATCTAGGGGAAAATATGCATATTAACTTTATGTAATACCTTACATTTAGGAACGCTATCTAAGAATAAACAGAATCTGATGATATATATTGTGGTAAAATCCATTATGTAATTCTAATCTCATTTTACAATTTCTATTTTGAACTTGTATATCTTGCAAGTGAATAATTTACTGACGTTATCCTGATTGCCATATGTATTGATAAGACATCAGACTTGACCTTTGTGGGTGTTTATTCAGCATATGGTCAATATTTGAAATAATTTTTGCAGATACTCACACTGTGGATAAACTGCGGAGTATATGTGCAGAAAACACTAGATCTGAAACCTCCCTATCACAACAGTTAGAGCTCATGTTTTTCAATTCCTCCACAACACAGACCCTGTACAATATTGAGGTAAGTTTCTGTGCAAAGGTCATGTAGGGAATTGGATAGATTTTAGTTTTGCCGGTCGTCAAAATGTTCCAAATATCCTGTACTATGTTACAGATTCAACTAGATTTTACCTGAAGTTCAGTTGGTAAAACCCTTGACTAGTAAACTGGTAGTTATGGGGTTGACATTTGGCAAGGCACTGAAAAATTATTTTCATAAGGCTAAATGCTGAAGTTTAGTTGACAAAATAGCTGTAGGGACTTGGGTTATCTCTGCACATTTGAAAGGTTAATCTTCGATTTTGTGTAAAAAACATCTCCTCAACTGAACAAGATGCAATCTTTTTGAAAGGATAAGTTTTGTTATTCTTATAAATTTCTTATGTTGATAGAAACTTAAACAAAATGTGTAAATCTTAATCATGAAGGAAATCCTTGGTGAGGATATTGTTGAGTATGGACATATAATTACTCTATGTTTGTACTGGTGAAAAGACATTAAATGTGAACTGGTTTTTGACACAGGTGTGCTACAGTTTACTGATGCCTGCGGGGGAACCGCTGTCGGAGGATGCCTTTGACTTTCAGGTATGTGCTTACAGTGGCAGGACATTTGGTAGTGCTGTGGCTTTCAGTAAAAGTAATTTGTGGAAGGAGTGGTCCCATAGACCAGCCACATAGACATCACTTGTAGAGCTTAACTTTTGTGATCAAATACATCGGGTTCATTATTTATTTATTCATCAGAAGTACTTTTTGCAAGAAAAAAAAGCATTTATAAAAAACATCAAAACTCTTGGTTCTTTTTTCCTTTTAATAATTATGTGAACCATCCTGGCTCTTTGTTAAAAATTACTGATGAATATCTTGCAACCTCTCCAGCTAACCTTTTTTGTTCGCCTTTATGCAGACTTGTGTTGGTTAGAGCATTGATCATTGCACGAAACACTACATGTTACTCAATTTGTACCATTTCATCTTTCAGTTTAATTTTGTGAAGAGTGGAGGAGTGCAGTTGGCATTGAACATGTTGACAAAGAACAATTTCATGCCAGCTGCGGACTTGCATTCAAAGAGGTAAATTCATGCTGTACAAAAATGAAGTAGACAATTATTTCAGCACAAAGTTTGTTCTTTTCTATGATCTAGAACACCACTATCTTGACTCAGCTCTTATTAAAAGTTTCTTCACAACTTTCCCTCGATGGATATCTAAATGGATACATGTTGTACGTAAATAAATAGGTATTGAAGCAATATAGGTGTTATTTTCTACTTCATCTAGTTCAGTATAGAAATGCACCACAGTTCTTCCTGTATTAGCGGTAATGCAATTTCCTTAACACCTCAACTATCATAATAATACTGATAAGGTAATTAATGATCTTAGCTCAATTATTCAGGGTCATGTGCCCACACAGTATGTTAACTGTTAAGTGTAGAATGAGAAGGGATACTACGTAATTAAAGACTGTAACATGTATATAAATATTAGTATAGAATGAGATATAAATATTAGTATAGAATGATATTAGTATAGAATGATATTAGTATAGAATGAGATATAAATATTTGTATAGAATGAGATATAAATATTAGTATAGAATGAGATATAAATATTAGTATAGAATGATATAGTATAGAATGAGATATAAATATTAGTATAGAATGAGAAGGAATACCACCCAGATGACTTCTACATCATCTGTTGCTCTGTTACAGGAATGTGTATGTGACTGTGATGAAGGTGTGTAAGCTGATGTTGACGACGGTGAGCCACGCCAAGTTCCAGGTTGTAGTTGATGCATGTAATGCTGACCCTCAGTCCCCGAACATCACTGCAGCGGAGCACAATCACGCAGTGATCCTACAACAGGCACTCCAGTATATCCCCAACCCCACCTCCGAGTTTACCACCAAGAATGTCGCCATGCGTCTAGGACAACAGCTATTGGACCAGGTCTGTCCTGTAATCATTGGCTTATATACACAATAGTCATGTATTATTAATATTTAGAGAGGCAGTCAGTGGGGCCAGTTCTAAAAATCAAAATCAGGGGGATGAAAAAGTAGACCCAATCCTAATAAAACTTGACCATTTCATCATGTGTATTAGAGTTCAGTTTACTGGAAAGGCCAGAATATATGAAAACCCTAAGCAGGAGTTTTACCCCAAGGATTTGTATGCTTTCTCATTTTGTGAAATTATTGAAGTTTCTTGCTATCACTTTTATTAATGTGTAGATTGATAATTGGGTTAATTTTCTTATAATCTATGTGACATACATTTTGTTGAAACTTGTGCCACATACTTTTTACCAGTTGACAGGGACATGCTTATATGAGATTGACCAGTCTTCATAGGATGTGTTCTGTTATGGGGATTTTCAACCCCAAACCAAAAATAAAAATATCATCAAATATATAGATTAAATAAATATTAAACTTTTGCTGAGAAATTATGTGGAAGAGATTAACTGTATGGTCAATGTTATATGCCTTTCTCTCCCAGGCAACAAAGACAATACCTGACCTAGCCACCATAAAAGCTATACAGAAGATAGCCTGGGCCTCCAGTAGTAGTTCTCTACACCTTGTCCATGCTACCAACGAAGAAATCCACAAAGCCCACGAAAAGGTGGGTAAAATTGTACTGAAATGAGTTTATTTACTAATACTGTAATTAAACCTGCCAAGTCAAACATGTACATGAACTGGATCAAGATTCCATGAGTATTGAGCTCCAAAATATTGGCTTTCTACTCCTTATGTTTACATGAGCTGAAATTGGTACCTTGTTTGTAAAAAGATGTAGGTAAATTTTGTCATTTTGAAGATATTTTACTTGTCAGTGTTCCACACATCCAATTCAAAGGGAGACCTCTGTATTACAATGAATATGGGGTACTTGACTCTTCCAGAGTTCATACTTCTATATGTTTTATAATCAACATATTTGGTAACTGTAACTATATGTAACTGTTAACAGCTTTCAAAATTGTTAGCTACCAACTGAAGTTTTTTGTTGTGACTGATACTGATAAAGAATATCAGAGGTTTTAATTTTCCTCCAGCTTATTGTACAAATGATTTTTCTAACATGTTTGATTTGTTTTAATGTTTTCTTGACCTTGTGTATTTAACCAAAAACAATCACAGATGTAATGCTGTTTTGTAGCCTAAGGACCACACTGACTTTGACGATCTGACTGTGGCACGTGAGGCCCTTGAAGTGTTGACTGTGTGTCTGGCATTGTGCCCACCTGCATTAGATGCCCTCAACAAAGACAAGGCGTGGCAGATCTTCATCAAAGATCTCCTCCTCTTGTGTAGCCACAGGTGAGTACCTGTTTTTCACTGCTCACACTATTTTGAGTCAATTGTCATATACAGAATATTGTTATAAACAAAAGTTTTGTTGACTATGTTAATCACTTAATATGAAGCCTAGCCTGTAGACAGAAATTAGCAATTAAGAAGTAAATTGTTAACCCTTAGGCTGCTACGCGCGACATATGTCGTTTTGAAAAGTCTGGCCGTCAGTGCTATGCACAACATATGTTGTTTCTCGGTCTGTAGGTTTTGATCGGTAGCCAGGAAGTGTGAAGTCGGGTTGTTGCTATACCAAACCCGAACGTGTATAGTAGAAGGCTTCTGATTGGTTGTTTTGTCTTTACTTTCGATATTCACGGCAGTTTACCCTAGTAATATCCAAAGGTGTGCGAGAGAATTTCAAATCCAAAAAAAATCCAAAAAAATGGCGGACATGTAGATTGAAGCGCTAAATATGATGGTAAACATTTATTCTTCATCGAAACCTACGATGATAATAAAGGTTTTGAAGGGTTTGGCATGGTTGATATGGAAATACTTTGGTGTAACATAATATGACATAAACGGATAAACGGATTTGTGCCCTACGCAAACAGGAAAGTATCGGCGGACCGAGGCGCACATGTCGTCTGCAGGTGAGGCCGAATTGAACATTGACATTGATACATTTTGAGCCGATTTATTTCTTCAAACTTTTTATCATTGATTTAATCATAAACTAGACCGTAGCTAAGATATATCTATATGCCGACTGTGACAGTAAATGTATTGAATGGCGACCTGAAACCTGTAGCAAATCACATGCAATTCTTGACGAAATACCTGACCTTTTTACCTGAGAATCTCCGTGGAAATATACAGCGTCTTATGTCAAAAATGAAGTTTATAATCTCTGTTATCATTTGCCAATCACATTTGCGGACGAAAATAATTTTAAAATGATCTTTCTGGTGCTTGAATCTGATTAATTAAAAGTTTCACATTTTCTTACTTTTATTACCACCTGTACAGGTGAATACTGAAGCAACTTTAGAATTGAAAACGTTCATATAAGCTAGAGACAACAACGAACAATTATCATACAACTTTTTTTCACATATAACAAATATTTTCCAAGTTTTGACATTTGAAAAATCAAGTAAATTAATTTAAATTTCAATAATTAATTCAGCAGTGGTGTCCCTTTACATAGAAATCAATGTAGCAGCCGAAGGGTTAATATGATCAAAATTATGGAAAAAGCCATTCCATTTTTTTTACATTTATCAAGCTAGTGTTATGAATTTTTAGTTAGAAGTGCATTTATACTTCTTTTTGGTACCAAGAGTATTTTTTTTTTCTCACTTTTTCAATTAAGAGGTTGGACAAAATTGTCAGAAAATATAAATAAAATTAATACATTTGTGTTACAGTCATGTGCGGGTAGCAGGGGCGGAACAATTCTACTTGATGGCTACACGCTGCTGTGGAGGGACGCGGCCAATGGTCTTCTTCATCACTCTTCTCTTCTGTGAACTGAATGTATGTAATTTACACCTATCTTTGTATGTTAATATTTTTATGCTTCTTTACTTGTCCAGATCCCAAATAATTCCCTGATAGCTTTTCTGATCAGTGAAAAAAATATTTATTGAAGGAAGACAATACAGTGCAATGCCAATGATTTATTATGAGGTGTTGAATGATTATCATCAAGAGCGGAGATGTTTTAGTCCTGCTGTATTTTATCTTCTGTTCTTGCTTTCATTGTAGGAATCTGTGAAAGAGAATGCAAAGCAGGCCCATGAATACTTCAGTCTACTTTGCAAGTATGTACATCTGATTTATTCTATATATTTATTTGTAAATTTTAATAAACTTTTACATAGGATATTTGTCTGATGAATATAGTCATAAATATATAGAAATTTGATATAAATGGAAATTAGCATATCCCTGGTGATACCAATTGCTTACACACTGAGCCATACCTGTCAAGCATCAATTAACTACCAATTTGTTTATGACATGAAGTTCATTGTACATGTAGTACCTTTAAAACACACAATGATTTGAGTTCTGTACTCGACTTTGACAGGTTGTTGAACTATGCATGTGCAAGTGATGTGAGGCTGCCGAATGCAGAGAAGCTGTTGAGTAATGAAATTGACTGGTTGATTAAAACAAGGGTACGTTGTTGTTTTTTTGATATTCCTGGTAATAAAATAAAACCAGTTGGGTGTACAAACCACATAGAATCATTCAGGTCACACTCAAGAATATTGATATAATTTCAGGTCAGAATTTCAAAAAAAAATCATGTTTCTGCTGCACATAGTACTCGAAAGAGGCATTGCAGTATTCACAGATAGATAGATATTTTGTGAAATTTTGGTACCTTTACTTCCTTGTTGTTGTATGTGTGTACAGCTAATTAATTCTGAAATTATCTGGTAAATAACTCTGCAAAATAAGACAAAAGAAAGTAGGCAAGAAGTCTTGATTCACTACCACATAGATCATTTGTTAAAACACAGATTTTTGTAAATGTTTGGTTGTGCATGTATTTCTTAATTTGATGTAATTCATATGCAACGGCATATTCATCTTGGTGAGATGATTTTCTTCATTGCTAGTTTATTCATTACCTATTTCATGAAGATTATGTCTATTTGTATTGTATGTTAATGGTGTGTGGTTTTAGGATGATGTGGTAAACACAGGAGAGGTGGTTGTAGAGGAGGCCTTGTTAGGGGGACATCTTGGGATCACACGTGAACTCTTAGCATTCCAGTCGTCAGAGAAAAAGTGCAACATTGGCTCAGAGAAGGGAGGAGCTAATCTCATCAAGGTATAAAACTTCATTTATAAACGTTTGTACCAACTGAATTTCGTAAAAGTTGAATACAAAGAAAGAAAATTATGTTGTGTGAGTAGACAATATTGTGCTAGACAGTGAATTGAGGGTAATAGCATTGTGTTCTGTGCTTATTAGGAGAATGCATAACATTATAATGCCGAGATAGTTAATTATTACAAAATTATTTTATCTTATAGTACTGTGATAATATAAAATTATAGCTGACTGAATTAGTTATTACAACATCGCTTGAATGATCTACTGACGATATTATCTATATTACACAAGAATGAGGAAAATATCTGTATGGTGTTGTTTCTCTTACAGGAGATAGTGGAGGATTTCCTATTCCCAGCGTCTAAGATAGTGCTGCAGAGTAGGAAACTAAATGGGGAGTTTCCGTCAGATCAGGCTGTACCAGTCTGTTCTGCGTCTTCAACTGTGATAGCCGCGTTTGAACTTTTAGTGGCACTTTGTACAAATTGTCTCCCCAACCTTCGCTGTCTTGCCGGAATGTTAACAGAAATGTTTTACAATGGTAAGCATGGGATTTACAAGACTGAAATTAGGATGACAACTCGTCTATAAAGGACTGTGCTAAAGTGTCCTTTCAACTTTTGCTTCATTATTTTGAGCTGATATCTTTGATGCTTGAGAATGCAACACATTTCTGTCAAGACGATGGTATATTGCTGTAGGTCGTAATGGTTCATAGTTTTAGTCATAATTAATTCTCAAAAAAAAACTTTGGGGTCAATTTTGTTTTTCGGAAGTATCATAACAATGTGCTAAATTACCAAGTATGAAATATATAGAATCATCACAATTTTTGCTATTGAAACTACTAACCTTAGCTAATTATGTACATGACACTTTTACAATGATAATTTTGTCTACAATCAGTCATATACTTTACAAATAAATTATACAATGTATTTTTAGCAATAGTTGGAAAGTCATTGTATGTTGTTCTGAACCTGAAGAAATTCAATGTGACATTTTCAGGTGAACAGCCTCTCAATGAATGGGAGTACCTACCTCCTGTTGGTCCTAGGCCCATTAAAGGCTTTGTGGGGCTGAAGAATGCTGGTGCTACCTGTTACATGAACTCGGTCCTACAGCAAGTTAGTTGAACCTTTGTGCCATGTTTATGGACCAAGTCCTAATTTCTTGAAAATAAACTTCAAGTTGTGCTAAATTTTATAAAAGCTCACTATAATGGTTGTTATTGAATACACTTCAAATTAAATGAAAAGTCTATTTTGTTTCAACATAATTTGTATGTTTCCAGAAATCTCATCATTTTAAAAACAAAACTATTCTTGGAGTGACATCATCTTTTGCATTTAGTCTAAGAAATAAAGTCTAAGTTTTGTCTCTTGATTTATGGGGAAAAAATTACATACAGTTTCAAACATCTGTTCATCAGTGTGAACAGGAAGGAAGTCCTTTAATTAAAGAATGTCAAATATCAGATATTAAAAGTGTTTTCCAGTGGAAAATAAATAAGGACATTACAAAAGAGGCACTTAAAATTAAAATGATGTAGAAAACAAAAGGGATAAAAATTAAAGGCAATATCCTAAATATTGCAAGGTGGGTAGCAGAAACAGTTTTGGTCTATTCAATATTTTAGTATACAGGGAAAGTTTCTTCCATTCATACTTTGCCCTTAACATTGAATTATTACATACATTAAGTTGTGAAACTAATATTTGCTGTCAAGTTTGCCCTCATTATGGAGGGCAAAAGATAAACTGCAGCAATATGTCTTGTATTTTAAGTCAGCACCAAACCTGCCATGGAACTGTTTACTGAACTTGTTTTCTATTGTGTTATAGCTGTTCATGATAGAACAGATACGGACGGGGATCCTTGCAGTAGAAGGTGTGGCAGACGATATTGAAGAGGAGTATGTTGGCGATGAAAAGAGTGAAAGTGAGGTAAGACAAGTATGTACAACAATCTACTTTGTTTCTATATTATCAACCAAGTTTAATTTATGGCTTTAGATGTATACCTCATTAATCCACCTGTTATTGCTTCCTGTGTTCTCAGTCAGTTTTGAAATAGGTGGTTCACTAGGAAAGAATAGCTTGTTGAATGTTCACATTCTATAATGTTCACCTATAACTTATTCTGGAAATGCCGGTTCCAACTTGATGAATATCAGGTTACTTTTGCTGGCAACTGACTTTTAACGAGAACACTGGTTCCCTTCTACAGTTGCTGCATTGTGAAATAGCTCAATTTTAATTATCTTCATTTGTATTTATATATGGACCAGAGCTTATTGAAGAAGTTGGGTGTAAAATGATTAACCTAATGTTGTTTTAGACAAATGTGGACATGGGAGATGAAGAGCGAAAGGATGAAGAGAAGTCTGTGAGCAACAAGGATGAGGCACGGAAAGAGTACCACCAGGGTGTTCTTAAACAGATCCAGCTCATCTTCGGCCACCTAGCCACCAGCAAGCTGCAATATTATGTCCCCAGGGGATTCTGGAAACACTTTAGGTAAAATCAAGGGGCAAGGGCTGTGGGACATACCAGAGGTGACAAATGATCAGAGGAATACCCTTACCTTTTTAGTGGTTCCGTCCTGTTTAAGATAGAAATAGAATGTTTTTAATGCATTACTTATTATGAACTCTTTCTAAGATGTTTTAGAACATATAATTATTAAATTAAAACTTCATTGTGCCAGAACAAACTGTTTCCAGATTTGGATGATTTGTAAATTGTATATCATGGTGGACTCTAAAAAAATTGTACATCATAATAAGATGCCTCACAATTGGTATATCATTATCTTTTCCACATGGTGACATTGTAGGTTATGGGGTGAGCCAGTGAACTTGAGAGAGCAGCACGATGCCTTAGAGTTCTTCAACAGCCTGGTGGACAGTTTAGATGAGTCTCTCAAGGCTCTCGGACAACCCACCATCCTCTCCAAGGTGATGGGAGGCTCGTTTGCTGACCAGAAAATCTGTAAAGACTGTCCTCATAGGTAAGTTGTGAGGCTTTTCTTTTCTACAGGCGCAGTCAGAATATACTGTAAATCTATTTCAGTGTCTGTGTCTGATAGCAGTTGAAATTCAAGGTGGATGCTCTTTTAACTGTTTCCCCACCTGGAAGATGCATTGTTTTAAATTATTCATAAAAGAAGCTTCAAAAATTATGATTGACATAACATCAAATGATAAGTTACATGACATTGAATAAATGTATACTGACATGTTTTATCTGCTGTAGGTACCAGAGGGAGGAACCGTTTACCACATTAAATGTGGACATACGTAACCACCAGAACCTTCTTGAATCACTGGAACAGTACGTCAAGGGGGATTTACTAGAGGGGGCCAATGCATACAAATGTGAGAAGTGTAATAAAAAGGTAAGCAGATAGCCGTATTTGACATGCACATCAGAACAATGTTATCCATATACAGGTTTCAAATAGATAGTCATAAATACTGTTTTGAGGTTGAATTCGTTCCTAAAATCTTGTAACATTTAGTAGCCCTAGATGAAGGTTATTTATTCTTGATTAAAACAAAGGTTCTCTTCCTAAAGGTCTACACTGATGCAAAATTTGTTCAGGATCAAGGATCACAATTTTTTGATCCCACAAAAACTAGAATCTGGTTTACAAGCTTTAAACAACAGCTGATGACTTTCATTTCCAAAATTATGTTTAGGTTTATTTAAAATCTTGTTACATACTTTTCTGTTGTCTCCGCTCACAGGTTGATACTGTAAAAAGACTTGTGATAAAGAAACTGCCAAAAGTCCTAGCCATCCAGCTTAAGCGATTTGACTATGACTGGGAAAGGTATAGAATATTTATAAGAGAGTGATATAAAAAGAGTTGTCTCTTAATTACAGTCGATACTTTGTGATGATCTTGATTTCAGTGGCTGCTATGAAAGTTCTGTAATTTATATTGTTAACCATGATGGTCTAAGCAAGTTAATTGCTTTTGCAGGGACTTTATTTTCTGACTTAATTGCCATTCCAATTAGAGTAAATTTGAAGACTTGTATTTAAGTGAGGTTAGATCAACTGCTTTATTTCATGAATTATGCCTGTTGACAATTTATTCATAAATAATTGATCAGATGCTATATCAGTGTTGGTAGTAATAATATATGGAATTCATTTATGTGAATTTCAGTTCACAAATGTGTCTCCTTGCAAATTCACATGTCAAGTAGTCTCTTAAATGAAGGAAGGTTACTGTTTTATGAAAAAGGTATTAGTCAAGCTAACATAAAAGAAGTTAATGCTTATTTTCATTAACCCTTTTGTCACTACGTAACTTAGTAGACTCTACCATGCATTGATATGGATGAGCCCATTATGGTCCACAGTGTTGAAAGGGTTAAGGCATCTCTTGTTGAAGGGCTTTTGGAGGTCTGAATATTTCTAAATATTGAAAAAAGGAATTTTCACTGAAATCTCTTTAAATTAATGTGGGCAATATTTGTCTTGCAGGGAAAGTGCAATAAAGTTCAACGATTACTTTGAGTTTCCGAGGGAGATAGACATGGAACCCTATACAGTTCAGGGGCTAGCCAAGATTGAAGGTAAGTGTTGCTGGGATATAATGAAACAAGGTATCAGATGTTTCTGAGCAATTCAATTCAAGAAGTTTTCATTCAAAATCTTCAAAGGAACAGGGATGCTGAACTGGGTTTTCTGTCTTTTTGATTGATGGATTTTTCTGTCTTGAAAGAATCTTGTTGATACTTCTAAAATTTGATCATTTTGTTGATACTTTTAAAATGAATAAAAGAGCAAAGTCTGATTTAGAAATGTAATGTGAATTTTGTCGTAACAAGTTTACTTCAAATGGTGCTTGTAACTTTCATCATAATATAACAATTGTGCATTGTTATTTTGGTGCAGGTGAAATAATAGACGATGATTTTGATACGAAGCCACAGAGTACGAAGTACAAGTTGTTTGGGGTTGTTGTCCACAGTGGGCAGGCTAGTGGTGGCCACTACTACTCGTATGTATTACACAGGTAAGTCGGGCTCTTCTTAAGGCATGACGGACAATTTCCATAAAAAAAGTAAGAAAATAATTATGTTATCTACCATGGAACGAACCTTGTTTGTTCTGTAAACAAGGGAATTCTATTTCTGGACACTTTAAGCGAAAAGTTGTTACAATTGAAGCAAGGATTCCAATTTCAGTAATCCAGAAAATATATGAAAATGATCATCAAAACAATTGCAATGATTTCTTCTTTACAATTAAATGAATTGTCATCTAATGTTTGTCATAGGGGTGAAGATAACCAGGTGAAGTGGTATAAGTTTGACGATGGTGACGTATCGGAATGCAAGATGGAAGATGATGAGGTATGTAGAGGGCCTGGGTATTCATAACCTTTTATACCAAGCCGCGGATTTGTATAACATTGTGTAACATACATCAACTACACACAAATGAAAGTAATAAAGAGGCTAATTTAAGAAATATTGTTGTAAGGTAAAAACAAAGGGCCTGTAGGAATTACAAAAAAAAGATCATGTGAATATTTTAGGTGATTTGTGTTAAATGTAATTTCAGGAGATAAAGAACCAGTGTTTTGGAGGAGAGTACCTGGGAGAGGTGTTTGACCACATGCTGAAGAGGATGGCATACAGACGACAAAAGCGTTGGTGGAACGCTTACATCCTGTTTTATGAACGTCAGGACGAGACGGAGGATGAAAAACACATCTACAAGTCATTGCAGGACCTCACCATAGGTACTGTGGTGTTTTTGCTCTTGGAAATCACTAGCAAGTTAAACTTGTTACGCATGGAACAGGAATATTAACACTTCATCAATTACATTTGTTAGACATTGGACAGACGAAACACTTCATCTGTTCAATCTGTTATACAGTACCAAGTTAAGGTAACACAACTAATCATCTATTAGGAAAAACAACACATTGTCAGTGAAACTTGCTATACATTATAACACATTCATGAAAAACACAGGTTGGGGGCATTTACCTTAGTGATCTTTTGAAAAATTCTGAAAAGTCTTAAAAGTATGAACCAATATATGAATATTGCAGTCTATAATACATCATGTGTATTGTTTTTGTTTTTCAGCGAACAAGCCATCACAAGTAAAGATGCCTGGCACTATTGAGAAGTGTGTGAGGAAACAGAACATTATGTTTATGCATGAGAAGAGTCAGTTCTGTCCCGAGTATTTCCAGTTCATGAAGAAGTTGTTGACGTGTAACCCAATGTATCACTGTGCCGACAAAGTGGTAGGTTTATCTATGTGTCGGGTTTGTGGGTTTGAAGTTCACCGACTTAACCCCGAGTAGAATCTTTGAAATTCAATCTAATTAAAATTATATCTTCTCATCGCTCCCGTTTACTGATATGTCGCGTTGAAGATCTAACAACATCCCGTAGAGGGTCATGTTCAGGCGACTTTTGCATTAACCAATCAGATGAGAGCTTACGCATTTCTGTAAGTGATGATGTAATGATTTCGGAACACACTTGCTATGATAAAAGACCGAGAGGTGTCAAATGAGCATCGAAAATGGCGGCGCCCATGACACCACGCCGTGTCTATCTACAAGACAACGTTTGTACAATTTGTGGATTTTGCTTTGAAATAAGAGGGACTTCCTTTTCTGGTGATGTTGTCGTTAAAAAGTTTAACAACCTGAAACTAAAATTAACCAATGACAGGCTTCGCAATATTCAAACTATCACTGGACCAGACGAAAAAGTGGATTTTGGGCTACGAGGTGTCTGCATTAAATGCTACAGGTCCTGCTTTCTGATTGGTTGAAAGAAAGAGTTATGTCGCGTTTTGATTGGCTTGTTATAAATACGATAATGCATTCATGTTGACCTCTGACGTGACCCTCTATGGGATGTTGTTAGATCTTCAACGCGACATATAGTAAACGGGAGCGATGTGAAGATATAATTTTAATTAGATTGTGTGAAATTAAGCATGATTTTTGGATTGTAAACAATTATGAAAATTATTCGTTAATTGTAACTATTAAGTAAAATTAAAAATGCTAGTTCTTTTAAATGAAATCATTGTATGAAAAATACTTTCTAAATCATCAACAAGCTTAACAACTGAACAAATTACTGGAACCTGAAATTTAGAGTTTGGTAAATTGAATAATTTTAGGTAAATTACATACATGCTAAGTTTGGTAGCACCTTTTTGTGGCATCAAGTTATTTTTTTTACAGTTCAATGAATTGGTGAATTTAATAAAATGGCAAAATCTTCCTTTTTAAAGTAATATTGTATACCCAACAATCTCAAAGCCACAAAATGATTGAGTTTGTTAGGTTTTGTTCTGCAATATTTCCACATTGCCAACTTTTAATTGGCTGCATACCATAGCTCTAGAATATTACATGAGATATTAAAAATATAAATGGATCAGACTTTGAGCTTAGGATTTTGCTTTTTCATTGATATGAGTCACATATGAATGAGTACTCATTAAGTTAAGAGCTTTGGTTATAGAGTGCAGCCATATTGGGTGATAAAATGTACTGATTTTATCTTACAGATACATTGTGCATAGTGTCACATGACATTATTCCAAAGAAACTGATATTTTTCTGTTTTAGAATGCTGATGCTGAGAATGTGGCCATGATCAGTACAGAGCTAGCAGCAAAGTTCCTATTCCATGTAGGGTTCCATACCAAGAAAACATTGAGGTAGATTCAAGCTCTCTTACACCCATTTTCCAAACAATTTTAAACCTACCGTATTTGACCGCAAATAAGTTTGATCAATTGAATTATCGAGACCAATTGTTAATAGAAAATAAGTTTTGAAAAACAACAGCACCATCAACTAATCAACTTTTGGTGACTGTTATAAAATATTCTGCCTGTTGGTTATTTTTACATCATGAACAATTATAAGTACAGGATATTTAGTGTGGTCATAGATCAAAACAGTGGTATATCCAAGAAGCCCCCTCCCTACTTTTGGTCTATGAGGCTTATTTGCAGTCAAATACGGTATGGTGTTTTACGGGTACATTATGCCTTCAGATCAACTTCATTTGGATCTGCAGTAATTTAGTTGGCTTAAATTTGTCCAGCATTAGATAACATAGTAGCCACTATACTCCACAAGGGAATCTTTATATTAACAAAACATAGTAAATTGATTGGGAAAAACATTTCAAAAAATATTGTTTATCAAATTATAAATAAATAAATTATTATTATTGCTGCATTTCCTTCCAGGGGTCCAGCTAATGAGTGGTATGAAGCATTAAGCTGTCACCTACGACCAAGCAAGAAAGTACGAACTTGGTTTGCACAGCATGTTCTGTTTGCCCATCCCAACAGATTTGCAGAGTACCTACTAGAATGCCCAACATCAGAAGTAAGTTTGATATCATTTTCTGGTTAACCATAAAGATAAGATTATTGCTGAAAAATTCTTCCAAACATAATATAAAAATAAAAAAGAACTTTTGATTCCTTCCTAAAGAAATAAATCTACTGTGGAGAAGCTTTGGGTGTAGGAATGTAAAATATTTGCAAAGAAAAAAAAGAAGATGGTAAGCAAAAACTACAAGTGAATGAGATATATCATCACGATAGAAAAATAACCAAAACAGATGTTTTCATGTGAATATTTCTTCCTAATGCTTATTCCAATTCCAGGTAAGAACAGCATTCTGTAAAACGGTTGTGTGTCTGTCCCACTTTGCCCTACGGGATGGGCCATGCCCACCACCACTGGTACAAGGATTGTATGGTATGTATTAGTGCAGAATAATAACTTTGTTAAATCTCCATAATTCGTTGTAATGAATGTTTGCAAAAACTTGTTTAATGATTCATTTTTTAGGTGTTTACTAATAGTGATGACCTGTAAGAAATATTTTATATATGGGGGGGGATAATGAAATAATATTTTCTATTTTATTAGACAATAAAGTTATCTTTTCACTATATAATAAGTGTCCTGTCTTTCCTCTTCGTCTGGTTAAAGCTGGAAACTTAGTCTAAAACTTATATCTGTAGATGGCTGGAAATCTGATTTCCTTTCTATATCTTGTATTTGTTTATAACTAGAAACCTAATTATTCTGTATATATCTTGCGTCCGTATATAGCTGGACACCCGGCTGACCCTAACGCCACTCTGAGTGACCACCTGTTGCTGGCTGTGCTACACTTACTGAAGAAGGAGGTGTCAGAACATGGACGACACCTACAACAGTACTTCCACCTGTTCCTAATGTACGCCAACCTTGGACAGGATGAGGTAGGTCATGCAACACGACAGGTCAGTCAATTTTTTCACAAAGTAAATTTTATGCTACACTGAATAGTTTAACAGATGATAACTTAAACTATTACTAAATGGAGGGGTTTCTTTTTTAGTATCATTTTATAGTACTAAAATGAGACAAATTGATATAGACTATATTTAGGCAATTGATTTAATTATGGGATTTAATTAATTATTCTTCTAAGACATACTATACTTTGTTCCACAGAAAATGCAGCTGTTGAAACTGAATGTGCCGTCAATGTTTATGCTGGTGGCATTGGATGAGGGACCAGGGCCACCAATCAAATACCAGTATGCAGAGTTAAGTCGACTCTATTCTGTGGTGTCAATCCTCATCCGATGTTGTGATGTGTCCACCCGTTGTCTTTCATCCAATGTAAGTATCATTTCTGACAGGAATAAACAATCCTCTACCTTAAATAAAAACAATCTTCTTAGAAATATGAATATCATTATATGGTAATTGTTTTGCTGAAATAGGAATGCATTTCCACGATATGTTGAAAACAAATGTGAATGTTTAAAAGTTCACATCATCACACTTTAAAATCACATGAAGCCTTTCATTAAAAAAAGGAGTTACTATAGAATATTCATTGACTTGATTCATGTTTGCGCATGCATTTGTAATGGATGACATCACATAATTGGTTTTTGTGTAGTATCACCCTGTCTTAATGCCACTGTTTGGTGGTAATCTTACATTATTGCTCTGTCTTTGGTCAAAATCTTATATTTAAGTCTTTGGTTGGTCAATTATATACTTATTTGATTCTGGTTTTTGAGATTGGTAAAATTCTGTGTTTTATAATATGTAAGGTTTGTTCAAAATCTTGTGCCAGAACTGTCTATGTCATGAAGATTGTTTTCTTTTTATAATGATAATAATAATAATAATAATTTTTATGCAAACCAATGAAAGTGACAACATTATTTTGTTAGGGTGAGCCAGCCAAGGCCAACCCCCATGGTGACAGTTCTGTACAGAACTCCCTGATGCCTATACAGTCACAAGTGTCGGATATTCTGTACGGACGTACCAGCTATGTCAAAAAGTTGATTGAGGACTGCAACAATACAGAGGATACTACCAAACTTCTAAGGGTAGGTTATGCTGTCAGCTTCAAGGTTTCTTTCTGAACTCGTGTCCTGAAGTAATGTTTTAGGGCTCAGTCTTCTGAAATTATAGGACTTCCTAACACATTATTCTATTCTCCAGCATATGAAGCAAATGACATTTTTTAACTTCAAGTATTTTAAACATATGGAAGTATTTTCAAAATTGATGTGAAACAAAATATTTACTGATGACGATATTGACTGTATGCTATTTCTAATGTTTTCTAAGATTGTTTAGTGATCACTATCTAAATGGAATGCTAATGACTAGAAACATTTACATTAATAATATAGTTTATTTTTATGCATGTTATGATTTTGTATTCTTTGTTTTTGTAGTTCTGTTGCTGGGAAAATCCACACTTTTCATCAACAGTTCTGAGTGAACTACTTTGGCAGGTAAGAACCAGACAGTTTTATGGCACATGTCTATAATGTTGATATCACCAAAATTCTTGAAATCAAAAGTAGTATCAGGTTTGAGTCTTAAGAGGTAAATTTCCAGACACTATTGCTATTATTCCTTGGAACACTAGTGTTTTGAGCAACTGGGTCATTACATAAATGTACAACTTATAAGAAACAAGTTTTCCATGTTTAAGGTTCAACTCCAGTTTGATAGTTAATTTTCTATATAGTTTTTAAAATTGTATTTAATTGATTGTACTATTTTAAAATTGAATTCATTTGATGTGTTTTCTTTCATCAGGTTGCATATTCCTACACGTATGAGCTACGGCCTTACCTGGATCTCCTCCTCCAGATGTTACTCCTGGAAGATTCCTGGCAAAACCATCGTATACACAATGCCTTGAAAGGTATACCAGATGACCGCGACGGCCTGTTCGACACCATACAGAGGTCCAAAAACCACTACCAGAAACGAGCGTACCAGTGTATCAAGATGATGGTGTCGCTGTTCACATTGTGAGTTGCTGTTATGATCTTAATTCTTCAGCGGCTGATATTATAATTTCAAAAGATATAGAAATAATAACTTGAATACTTATTACATGTTACATACTTTCTTTCATGTTTCCAACTAGGGAACAAAATCTTATAAAGGTAATTTCGTATCCAAGTCAAATAAACTTGAACTTTTTTATTGGTTGTAAATGAAGTGAAGTTTTCAACATCCTGTTTTCAGTAATCAATGAAGTTATTTAGATTAGATAAATAATCAGAGATGAAATCCTTGAAAGGGGAGGTACAGTATCTTCAATAAGACTCATCAGTTTGGAAGTATGTGTTATCAAAGTTTTACTTTACAAGCTTGACAAAGGGACCAGTCGGTCTTGAAACGTTGTGACACGTTTAATATGTACATTGTTTGTGTAAAAAGTAAAACTTTGATATCGAGAGGCATAGTATTTTAATGATAAGATTGTGAGCTTTTACAGAATTTATAATAGTGACTTTGTTACAGAATAAATAGCAGTGGGTTTGATGTGATACAAAATGTTTTCATTTTGATCTTGATTTGACAGATGCCGTCCAGCTGCCGAGATGTTACAAACCAATGGTGACCTCAAGCGCAAGTGGACCTGGGCAGTGGAATGGTTGAATGATGAACTAGAAAGGGTGTGTTATACCTATCAAAATTAACTAACAAATCTAGAATCAAGTTATGTTACAAATTAGATTAAAGACATAATGGAACTGGTAAGGATAGCAAACCTAGTGAATTTTAAGGTCAAATCTAATGACTATATACAGAGTTGTATTAAAACTTGATGGAGTCGATTAAGAAAATGATTGGGGAATTAAAAAGGGCAAAAAGGAGTTACATCTTTGAAATGATTGAGATCCCAGTCCTATATGTAGAGACAAACTCCATCATGATACCAGGATTGACTCCATGGTCTGGCCCTGCACCTGTGGACTTTGTCCCTAGCTAACAATATGGGAACAGCTTAAAATGTTAACCATATAAAAAAAATATAAAAAAATATTGCTAGGCATTAAGTGAAGAACACCTTCATGCTACCATGTTTAATGCCAGGATCTGGTCTTGCCCCTGATTGTTGAAATTCCATTTGAGTGATACTGGATCTCAAGGTTTCTTGAGAGGTTTTATGGTTTTATATTATGTTCTTACCTTTCTAGTATAAATATACTCTGTAGATATTTTTTTTGTATGCACTGACTCTGAATTTGAATGTCCAAACAAATGTGTTATTTGTTGTTTTAACAGAGGCCATATCCAGGGAACACGCAATATACCTACAACAACTGGTCCCCACCTGCACAGTCTAACGAGACATCCAATGGGTGAGTATTATACAGGCAACAGATACTGAAGTCATTTATTATAAAGTAGATACATTTTGGGTTTCAAGTCTTCTGGGTTTTTTTCCGTTAGTCAGATATTATGATATATATTATTCATTTGGGTAAATTTGTCAACAAGTTAAGTATTGCCTGGAATAAAGTTAATAAGAGAATGATTTAAGTTATTATTAAAGAACATATATACAGAAAAGAAAACTGCATCCAGGCATGGTAATGGAGGTAGCTAGCTAGGCAAATTTAACATTAAGGCTTGGTAATGGAGGTAGCTAGCTAGCTAGGCAAATTTAACATCCAGGCTTGGTAATGGAGGTAGCTAGCTAGGCAAATTTAACATCAAGGCTGGGTAATGGAGGTAGCAAGCTAGCTAAGCAAATTTAACATCCAGGCTTGGTAATGGAGGTAGCTAGCTAGCTAGGCAAATTTAACATCCAGGCTTGGTAATGGAGGTAGCTAGCAAGCTAGGCAAATTTAACATCAAGGCTGGGTAATGGAGGTAGCTAGCTAGCTAGGCAAATTTAACAAATTGGAAGAATAAACTTGGGTTTTGGCTTCTTGTTACGCTTCTGATCTTTTTATTGTAAAATTATTTTGTTACAGTTTATTTACTTATACGGAATTGTAGTAAATACATTTTATGTGATGGTGAATATATTATCATCCGAAATGCAGTATCTTTAATTTCTGATGTAAGCAGAATATCAGCTTTTATTTAGCATAGTGATCTGTATGACTGTTTGTTTTTGTTTTGAAGATATTTCCTAGAAAGGTCACACAGTGCCAGAGAAACATTATCAAAGGCGTTCGAGCTTTGTCCTGAAGAGGTGAGATTAATTCAGTGTTTTCTTGACTAGTCTAAATTTATTGTACTGATAGGCAAGACTTACTTTACCTTACTTAACCTTGCGTCAAAGTGGAAGGGGTATAGAATTCTGCCTGTATGTAAGAACACATGTTTTATGCCAATGTCCAAATCATTTTACATCTACATGTAGAAGTCACCATGTGGATCAGAAACATGCTTTCTTATGTAATTAGTGTTCTTAAAAGTTCAGTATTGTTTGAAGACAATCATGATGCATTCCAAACATACTTTGGGAAAAATTGTAGCAAACAATCCATCTACCTGTCTATTCCAAGATGCAATGATTTGCACATAATTCAAGGAAAATGGGATTTACATCAAAACAAACCCTGAATACTAATGCCTGTTTTGATTAAGAATTGAATCAATTAGTGATCTGTTTTATGTAAATTAACACGATGGATTTTATATAATTTGTGACTGCAGGAACCAGAGGATGGTTACTTGACAGATGAACAGGAAACACCTGCCACAGAAGATGCTGTACCACCTACCTATCCTCCGGGGCAGACACAACCTCCAACAACCACAAGTCCCCCAACAAGTGCATCACAAACACAGCCCCCAACTCAACCAGCCTCTCAGCCTCCAACTCAGCCACCAGCCTCTCAGACTCCCACTCAGCCACCAGCCTCCCAGCCTCCGTCTCAGACACCGGTACAAAATAACCAAGTGAATGTAAGTCATGTGTCACCACAGCCAATACACCCTAGTAACCAGATCAACAACCAGCTCAACCAACAAACCTCACCGGCCACACCTGCCCCCACAACTGGGGGTCAGTCTGATAACCCAGACACGGGGGAAGAGGAGGTGGACAATGGCAACAAAAAAACAACGCCTGAATGAGCGACAACATGTTGTGTATGTGGTAATACATGACCTACATATGTTACAACACAATGAACCAGTATCAATAGGAAAAGTGCTACAGGCTTGAGTCAGTGATGTTTACTACAGTATCGGGTAGTGAAGGAAGTCATTGATCTCCCGGTACGGGGGTGATACATACATTCACAGCTACAAGTCCCTTTTTGTTTTACTCCTTGAAGGAAAACTGTTACAATTGATTACTCCACTTGGTATGTATACCAAAGTAGACGAAATATTTTTGGTTGAAGGTACAGATGGTCAGAGATAAAAAGGAATGTCCTCATATTTTTCTATTCTTAGTGCAAGGAATCCAGACTACATTAACAAGGGACAAAGTTATGGTCTGTCATAGATTCAGGGTAGAAAATGTTCTATCGTGAAAAAGGTAGGACATATCCTTTTGGTACCAGGAAGAAGTTTCAGTCTGGCCAGGTACCTGACTAAAAACTATGTACGACCATTTGAGTGCCAGACAGAAAGTCCCAACCTAATGTGCACTTCTCTGTATATCTGAAGTTCTCTGACCAATCAATGTAGTTACCTGTCAGGATTACACCTGCCTCTGTGTGTACAGGCTTCAAACGGAGGAATATAGTTACCTGTGATCCACAGTGGAATAAATGGTTATTTTAAAATGGCACCGTTTTATATTGGTGTGTTTGTTAAAGATGACTTTACGTGTGATGCAAGTGATCAAGACTACAGTCAGGGTTATTGGGGGTCACGTGACTGAATATGCTCCAGTAGAGAAGGCGTAATATCTGTTGTGGGAGGTGGGTTATTTTGGGTATTTTAGAGAGAGAAAATTACTTCAGGCACATGAGAATGAATTGAAAAAGACCTCCAGAAGTTTCCTATCTTGCCATCAGGTCTTTCACTACTTTAGTACTTAACTGCTCTAATGTAGATTTTTCAAGTGAAACAGCAAAAAGAGTTGTGTATGTTTAAGATGTGGGAAGGCACAGCATGAGTACAGTTTAGGAAGTCTTCTTACAACAAGCTAATGCTGTATAACAGTTCTATTATTATGATGTTTTGCACTTATTGAGGAATATACAACTGTTTTAGGATTAAGCAAATATATGCTGTGCTAATTTGCAAGATATATTTTAAACTGTTCAAATTCACAAAGGTGACAATCTGAATACTTTCTATTTATGATACTAAGCTAGTCTAAGTACATGTGTTGGTAGATAGGCAGATGCATCAAAGAGGGATGTTGTAAGATTTTTTCACTATTACCACATAGATGGAGGAATTCACCATACTGTATCCGCTATATCTTAATACTTACTTGTAACAAGTTGTGACCAATGACAGATGGCGCATCAGAACAATTTACATCTTTTAAGCAGTGTCTGAAAGGCAATGAGGAAGTGAACAAGTGTCGGAGTGTTGATAATTATCAATTATAAGTGCAACAGTTATCTTAAACTGCATGTTTATATACTGTTATTTCAAGGCTGCATGTTTTAAACAGATTGCCTTTGTCTGTATTTCCTTGCACAGGTTTATTAATAAGTAGTTGATCAAATATGGTTCAGGGCCAGTTGTGCTAGGTTTCATAAGCTTAAGACTTATATTAACAAAACTGTTTTGGGCTTCTTTTTCAAAATATTATTTCTTGTGCTAGTGATCATATTAAATCCATATATACATATGTGTATTTTAGTTAGTGTTGTTGGATTTAAAATCCAAACGTTCGTAAAGTTAATTTTGAATTCTACTATTTATTAAACAGCTTGAAATGAAATTTTGCATTTTACCTAATTCCATGACGTAAGTTTAAATAGTGCTTTAGGCTTTGCAGGGTCAGATATAAACTATTTTATTAATCTAGAGAACTGGTTGGATAGTGTATTTACTAGTCCTTCATGTCCGCTACTAGTTTTAGAACTGTTTGCAGAAGGTAACATCCTGAGCACTTAACAACAAAAAGGAGAGATGGCTGTAGGGGAAATAAAACAGTTCTTAAGCTGTTGAAGTATTGTGAAGTCCAAGGAGAAAAGAAAAAAATTAATATATATTTTGGGCAGTTTTTTAAAGGAGTATATCTTATTCGTTAATATGACTTGGTGGGTTAGGTGATTCTGTAATCTTTAATTATTATACTAGTTTCAGATTATAATCTAATGTAATTGACAACTCCTGCTCTGTAAGTTAAATATCAAATCAATAGGAAAACAATTTGAATTAATATGTCGCCCATAACTTGCTACAAAGTGTTGGGAAGCCTGGCCTTAAAATTCAGTATTTTCAACTTATAGTGCCTATAAACCATGATTACTCCTGTAAAATCCAAGTATTCGGGCTACAGAGTGAACAGGTCAGCATTTTACTCGCAAGTGTATTTAACAGTGTTGATGTGTTGTTAAACCATGTGCTTTTCCAAGAAAACCTACATACAAACTGAAAATAATATTTAATAATATTATCAAATAATAATTTTAAGTATTTTGTTAAAGAAGCCAATAAAGTAGTTTTAGATTGTCCCTTAAAATGTTTTCCTCTTCAAATTTTGAAAGATCGGTAAGTAGGAGCATGTTTGACCTCAATGTTCTATGCTTAAGCTTGTGACACTGTGAACAACTGTTAGCCCTGACACCAAACGTTGACGCTCTACTCTAAACAATGTAATCTAGCACCATGTCCGATTGTCACGAGCAAAAATGTATTCACACCAAAAGAAAAAGCGTTCATATAGTAATTTCTACTTTCATGCTTTGCACTTGTGATTTTATTGAAGTATTGTAATTGTTGGAAGTTGATATTTTGGTATATTATTAACTGGACAATTTTCAATTTATGGATGCATGTAATGAACTGATAAACCTTTTTCTCCTGAATCTTTCTGGGATTCATTGTCAGATTGGTCAAGCAATGCGTTGATGTCAATTAGTACTTGTGTACCAACATGATGTTCATTGTTGACCATGCAAAATATATAAACAATTCAGTATGGCTGCAAAACGTTTCCTGCAGTAAACAAGGAGATGGATGCTTGATTTGTAGTGTATTAATGCATGGTGGTTATTTTTTTATTTCTGGCATATTTTCCTAAGAAAATGGCTACAATACTGTCAGACCTATTATCAGATTAAAATGTTTTTATCAGAATTTTTTGCACTAATTGAAAAAGAGCTGTGTAACATTGAAAAAAAATTGATGTGTTTTTTTCTATCTTGTTTAATAATACTATTACAGTTGTCTCTTTTTGTCCAGGATACATTGCAAATATTTGATATGTATCTGTTTGTAATGTCAGAAATATTGTTGAGAATATATTTATGCTACACATACCCATATATGTGTATAATATATGTGATGTTCACATATGAGACGATGTATATGTGTGCGGAATACACTAGTAGTATTACAACTCACGGCACTGGTCTGTATTCATGTATAATAAGTATTGATGTCATGTATATGGTGAGTACATAGTGTTACATTTGTGTGCATGTATATAATTATAAACTTTGTTGGTGAGATGTCGAGTAACTATTAAAGCTATATGTGAGTGTGTGTGAGTGTGTATATTACTCTGGATCCTGTCAATGTAGACCAACTGTTTCTTGATAGTGCTAACACATGGTAAGGATATTAGAGTGGTCTCACCAGGAGAGATGTGCTTTCATCATTGTTACTGTACATATAGAGTAACCTTAAGTTGCCTTGCATAGTATGCACAGTGGCACGTGTTTCAGACTTGTGATATTCTGTAATATATGTATAATACACAGCATCTGTATAATAGTTTGTTTTATTTTAAATGCGTCTGTACATATACCTGTTCTAAATCTTACCCTTTATCCTCTAGGTATCTTCCTATTAGTTGGTGAAGAGTTACGATTCATTACAAATTGCATTATAAACGATAGTCACTCTCTGTCTATGGATACCGTTTTTGAAGCATAACATGTTTCAATAGTCTGGAATGGGGAAAATTGTCTTTCAAATATCAAGACACATTTTCTGATTTCATAAATTATTGATCACTCCAACTAGCTGACCTAAGGTTTTAACGTATAAAATATGTCCCTTTCTGTGGTAAGGACATTATTCACATTTTTTTAAACATTTTTTTTGCATATTTCCTGGGCTCATTTTCAATTCATAAGCCCTTAAGGACGATATTTATTGCACCAGCAATATGAATGGAATGATTCCGAGGAATATGGGAAAAAATATTGAGATAATTCAAAATTAAAATGCTTTGGAAAAATAAAAAAGAGAACTGAGAAGACAATTATATTGTTAATTTTAGATTTTCACAACCCACAATTCTTTACATAGATGGTGTTTCTCCCAATTTCGTGTGTGTGTGAGATTGATGGGACTTGTTTAACAAGTTGATTTTCCTACGGAGTTCAAATAACGCCATTTCTTTCCTAGCCCTCTTCGTTTTTTATTGGTCCTACCTACTTTCCCGGACTCCAGCATTCACATGAGCTGTTTTACTTTAGCCATCAACAGTACCATATTTGAGATTTGAACAAACCTACAAAGTAGCAAAGGCGGTCTAGAAAAGTTTTATCAAATTCCTCTACTGTGACCACTGAGAATATCGATTTTTCTTACAGTTGAGTTCCAATAGATTATTTGCAATAGGCTACAGTATTTCTTGGCAATTATTTAAGACGCTCTGAACAAATACCTCTAGTGAAAGTTAATTTAAAAATGCCAAGAACGGAAATTTTGGTTTGATGAGGAATATATTGACTGTGCAGAAAGATGCTGGGGTAAATTATGAGATAACTGTTGAGAAAAATCCTATAGTTTACAATCCAACAGCATATGATACTGAAAAGTAACAAAACAATTAAATGGCCTTATATATTGTACTGTTGGTGTAGTATGTAGCCATAAAATTGTCCCAACTAAGGTCTAAGGAATGCCTTGAAGTCCTTTACCGTAACACGGCAACACATTTTAATGTTTTATATTATACTGAATATTCAGATAAGACCAGTTCTGTAGCATTTTGTGAATCAGGTGAATGTTCAGGTCCATTCCGTCTAGCACAATATAGATACAGTACATGTATTTTTGCTTAAATTATTTTTTCATGGTATTCAGTCATACTCCGAAATCCAAACATATCACGACTTGTTTACAGGCACAATTTGACACGTTTTGTTTTCAGAAGTCTGACATGAAATGCTCTCAAGTAACAATTAAAACATAAATACACAATAACGATATTTGTATAGTATTATATAGTAGTACTAGACGAGGAAGGAACATTGAGTTAGTGTATGGAGTGGGTCTGGGACTGCCTATCTGTAAATAGAAGAGGACCTAAACAAATCTCAAACGTGATATGTAGGGGTGTGTTGTTGATGTAATACTTACTGGATGGAGGAAAATAACTTTTATGTTAGAACCACAGATGTTAACGAAGGATGCTGTAGTACTTGGATATATATTCATCTGTATACATATTTAATAAAGAAAGATGCAACAGTAATCAAATGTCTCTTATACTAAATGACCCAATTTTATCCAAATTTCTTTTAAAAATAACAAAAAGAACTATACCATAAATGCTTTAAATTTGGTTTCATTGAAAATTGAAATATTTTTAAAGAAAAGATATACATATATTTCAAAACCTTATGTTGCGTTGATTAATTGTGATGAAAACATTACAAAATGCATTGTGTATTTAGCTTTCATAGAAGACAGTGAGAGACATAGATAGGTCAAAAATATTTCTATGTTACGTAGAAATATCACGAAGTACAGTGGAACCTTATTAGTGTAGACATTGTGTTTTCCAACAAAGTCTGGTATAGAATTACATGTACCAGATTTATGAAATCTGAATTCAACCTTGAAAGTCCTCCCGACGCTGATGATAGATTAGCTGGATGAAACCTGATTTCTCTCCAACTATCAGTGTGGGTAAATAAGTGTCCACTGTATACATAGTGTAAGGGAGCTGTCTACAGAGTTGTGAAATCTTGATGCAAGTTGTTAAACAACCTAAAGAATGTGGTCACCAAGAATCCAATTCCTTATCATACAAAGTGATCCTACAATTAGATTCTGGCTTAGTTGGGTGTTCGGTAATGTGAGGTTAAGTTTTTTTGTCTTGTCTAAAGATACCCCAGCTACAATCCAGACAGAAATATTGTCATCTAGTAATTAATATTGTATTTTCTGCCACAATTAATTGTACATGGTTTTTGTCCATGTGCTATGTCATATTATACAGACTCATTGGAGACATCATCATAATTTTTATGTCCAGCAGTCAAATGTACATTGTGGATTGTCCACAGCCATAGTTTTATTCTCAACAGTTGATAATAATGATATTTTGTTATTTTTGTTTTTTTTAAATGAAGTTGAAACAGATTATAAGTTAAAATTTGATGTGTGATAACGTTCCTTTTTTCCGTAGGAAATATTTTAATGACAAAATTAGCTTAAGTTATTTTCATGCTTTATCATATGAAATTGAGTCATTACTGCTGTTTCAACTTGGAAATACTTCATTAAAGTGAGTTGTCACAAAAAAATGTTAGCCTTAAGTTGTTTGTGTTCACCGAAACATGAAGAAACCCTGGGAGCAATATAAGATGTTTGAAAGTCTGTGAAGGTTAGTCATTTCAAAAACTCTGTAGCCCTTCATCTCAGCATGCTACTGGCCAAATATTATCATAGGCCTGTTAGTTACCGGTACTGGAGAAAAATTTGTTCAGGATAATCCGCCGCCGACGGATGCCACACCACAGCATAAAGCTTACTTGGCCAAGAAAAATGACTTGCAGTATGATTAAACTAAGCAATTAACTATACACAAGACAATAGCAGAGGATGTTTTCATTTCAGTTTATTATTCTCCAAAATTAAGATAACATAAAATCATCGGCTCCCTCTTATCTCGTAAGTATATGAATAAATATTGTTTGGTAATGAATTTACAATGGTGTTTTGTACCCGGTATATGTGACCTCTTCTGATGAGGTTAGCATATTAACTTTTATCACACACTTCCCAATTAATGCATTTAAGGGTGTATGCTATCTTGCTAAAATGTATCTCCTATCCAAAAGGTTCCTTTCTGAAATTTATCTCCTTTTCCAAAAACTTTATAATCTTTCACAAATGACAATTTAAACATTATTTATTAATGACACATTTGGAAAGTGAATTGATTGAAATGATGATTATTTGAATGATTAAATTCACCATTTTTAATGGCTATATAGATGTATATATTCCTTACAAATCACACAGTAAGAGGCAGGGTAACATACATAAACTTCAGTATAGGAAACCCTGACTTTATGAACTTGTTACAAGGAGAAGTAGCACAATGCATTTCTATTGATGTTATCAATCTATTAAAATAACACATATCTGTACATTTTGTAAATTCATAAATTGTATTACCGGTAAGTAAATAATGAATCGTTTGGCAGAGTAATGAGAAACATCTACACAATTTACCCATCATAGGTACACCAACTGGTTTCTTGTTTTGCAATGAATGTATATTATACAATATATATTTACATTTGCCCCTGCGCCGTCCCATTACAACAGTGTTGGAGGGCAAGTGTAATTATATAGGCTATAATTACAACTGCTCGACTATAATTACCCTCCTGTTTCAGGTGTAGGAATATGTAAACAAACAAAATGGCCGTCTGAAATGTATTTTGAGGCAGGGCAAATGGTTTTTGTAGGAATATGTCTTAAAAAAGAAAAATATGTAAATATAAAAAATACCTGGTTGTCTGGATGTAATTATTGTTGATATAATTACAAGTGGCCTCTGGCAAATCTACCTAGCGGGATTTATGGGATTTGTCACAGGCCACTTGTAATTATATCGACAATAATTACATCCAGACAACCAGTTATTGTTTAAATAAAAACAAGAATCTGTTCTATGGTGATCCAATTTCTCAAATTAGAGAAAATAAAATTGTGAATGCACAACAAAAGAATACTGAACCTGTGGGATAAATTCAGACCATAAACATATTTAAGGATTAACTTGAATATATTTTTCATGTTATGGAGATATAACACAAAAAACCGGAGTGTACTCTAAATAAACCGCTTCTAAACCACGAAGCGGTTTATGATAAGAGTACACTCAGGTTTTTAGGTCACCTGAGCTTTAGCTCAAGTGACCTATTGCTATCCGTTTTCGTCCGTCGTCGTCCGTCGTCCGTTAACATTTTACATTTCAAACTTAAAGTCAAGTTCTGCTGGGCCGATTGAACTGAAAGTTGGTAGGAATGATCGCCTCATGGTCCTGACAAAGTGTTGTTATTTTTCGGGTCGATCAGAAATCCAATATGGCCGCCACGGCCGCCATTTTGAAAACCTATTTCAAACTTAAAGTCAAGTTCTGCTGGACCGATTGAACTGAAAGTTGGTAGGAATGATCGCCTCATGGTCCTGACAAAGTGTTGTTATTTTTCGGGTCGATCAGAAATCCAATATGGCCGCCACGGCCGCCATTTTGAAAACCTATTTCAAACTTAAAGTCAAGTTCTGCTGGACCGATTGAACTGAAAGTTGGTAGGAATGATCGCCTCATGGTCCTGACAAAGTGTTGTTATTTTT